CCTGACCCATTCCAGGCACTTGGAATGGGTCAGGATAAGGATTTGTGATGGGACGGGGAGAAGGAATGGTGTCCAACCACTTGGACTCAAACGGTAGAGCAACGGTCTAGCTTCATGCAGGTCGACGTTCAATCCCTGACCGTCCAAGTGTCTGGGCACCATTCCTTTCCCCCGTCCCATCCCAAACCCTTATCCTGACCCCTTCCAAGTGCTCGTCTTAATGGCTTTGCACCTAAATCTGCCTTAAAGGAATAAAAATTAAAATTCCTTGTTTTAAACATTTTTATTTTAACAATCATCAAATTATTATTTTTATTACGAGTCTTTTAAGGCTTATTTCTGAAGATATTGGTTCCTTGCGATAATTTTGGGGCTCAACATCCCTGCAGCCTGGTTTCTGACCAAGTCTCCCGGTTGCTGGACTGGTCAACCAGGCTGTTGGATGCGGTTGCTCACAGCCTGACATATGAATCACAGCCTGGTTGTTCAGGTATTATTATTGGTCACAATTACTTGTAGATGTCTCCTATATAAAATATCACCGAGATATACAGATTTAGGCAATTTTTTTAGTCATTTTAACAAACGATGCAGTAAATTGAGGTTTTTATACCCCCCAATGTCCAATGACATTACCATAAAATAGAAAATACCACAAAATACATATTTCTTACAAAGCTGTTATGGCAATACTCTATCTAGATTTAATGGAAAATATAGTATAATTCCTGCTTAATAATGTGTGAAAAATCAGTCTCACAACTTACAGTACACGCAACAGAAAAACATCAATTTGATTTTTTATTTTGTCATATTGCTAATTCATAGATTAATGGTTACATATAACTTTTATCTCGTACAGATTTGATTTAGATTATACATATAACTTTCCGTGGAGTAATATACAGGTACTATACATTTCAAAAGACAATTATTTCCGCCAAACGTATAAACCACAAATGTTTAAGACATGACCACATGAATCTTACCAGAGAATATAATGCACAAAGTCCAGAGGATGTGAGTGATTAGCCATGATGTGATGTACCTTATCTTAAGCTAATTCTCTGAAGTCTCGGAAGCTCTAGTTTTACAAATTTACCGGATACCATATTTGATATAAAAAATGCTGTACTTATATAGTCATATTAACAATTTCTTGTTTCAGTCACCAATATAAAACATAATACTGTATAGTACAGAACTGAATGCTTTCAATTTTACGGATATGCATTATGAAACAAAAATTATTCATTTGGGAGAAATAAGAAAGACAAATTGAAGAGACAGAAGAAATATGGGGGGGGGGAAAGAAGAGAAAGAAAAAAAAAGGGGGGGAAAGAAGAGAAAGAAAACAAAGAAGGGCCCTGAGCCATCAACAGTGTCATGTTTGTTTATTTCATTTATATACAAGTAGGTACATTGTGTTGTGAGACTACATAATATTGGTGTTCTTCAGCAAGGATGGAAGAAAATTCAAAATGAGATGAATGGAGGATAGAAGTGGGATTGGTGGAGGAAGGAGGGGGGGAGAGAGAGAGAGGAGGGGGGAGAGAGAGGAAGGAGGGGGGGGGAGAGAGAGGAAGGAGGGGGGGGAGAGAGAGGAGGAGGAGGGGGAGAGAGAGAGAGGAAGGGGGGGGGGGAGAGAGAGAGGAAGGACGGGGGGGGGAGAGAGAGGAGGAGGGAGGGGGGGAGAGAGAGAGGAAGGAGGGAGGGGGGAGAGAGAGAGAGGAAGGAGGGAGGGGGGGGAGAGAGAGAGGAAGGAAGGGGGGGGGGGGGGAGAGAGAGAGAGGAAGGAGGGGGGGGGGAGAGAGAGAGAGGGAGGAGGGGGGGGAGAGAGAGAGAGGAGAGAGAGAGGAAGGGGGGGGGGAGAGAGAGAGGGGAAGGAGGGGGGGAGAGAGAGAGAGAGGAAGGAGGGGGGGGGGAGAGAGAGAGAGGAAGGGGGGGGGGAGAGAGAGAGGAAGGAGGGGGGGAGAGAGAGAGGAAGGAGGGGGGGAGGAGAGAGGAGAGGGGGGGGGGGGGAGAGAGAGGAGGAGGGGAGGGGGGGAGAGAGAGAGGAAGGAGGGGGGGAGAGAGGAAGGAAGGGGGGGAGAGAGAGACGAAGGAGGGGGGGAGAGAGAGGGAGACAGGGGGAGAGGAAGCAAGAGGAAAGGAGTAGGGAAGGGGATAAAGAAAAAAGTTGGTGGTTCAAGGGGAAGAGGCAAATGACAGAACAGCAACAAGATGAGACAATGACAGGGCAGCAACAGGAGGAAGCAAAGACAGTAGCAGCAGAAAAAGAGGGGGACTAAGTAGCAATGATAGAGAAGAAAAGGGCAGCAATGAGAGGCGACAGGGACAGAGAAAATGAGAGGAGACAGGAAAAAACAGCATTGAGAGAAGACAGGGACAGCTCCAAGGACAGGAGTCAAGGACAGAGCAGCAGCAGGTGAAGGAGGCAAGGACGACAGCTGGCGGAGGAGGCAAGGACGACAGCCGGCGGAGGAGGCAAGGACGACAGCCGGTGGAGGAGGCAAGGACGACAGCCGGTGGAGGAGGCAAGGACGACAGCCGGTGAAGGAGACAAGGACGACAGCCGGTGGAGGAGGCAAGGACGACACGAGGCAGGCCGACAGCCGGTGCAGGAGGCAAGGACGACAGCCGGTGGAGGAGGCAAGGACGACAGCCGGTGCAGGAGGCAAGGACGACAGCGGTGCGGCAAGGGAGGAGGAGGCAAGGACGACAGCCGGTGCAGGAGGCAAGGACGACAGCCGGTGCCGGTGGAGGAGGCAAGGACGACAGCCGGTGGAGGAGGCAAGGACGACAGCCGGTGGAGGCAAGGCGGTGGAGGAGGCAAGGAGGACGACAGCCGGTGGAGGAGGCAAGGACGACAGCCGGTGGAGGAGGCAAGGACGACAGCCGGTGAAGGAGGCAAGGACGACAGCCGGTGAAGGAGACAAGGACGACAGCCGGTGGAGGAGACAAGGACGACAGCCGGTGGAGGAGGCAAGGACGAAAGAAGCCTCGCAGCCGAGTGGACAACGCTAGGGGGTCATAGTCCAAAGATTCGTTTCGATTCCTGGCGGAGGCAGAAACAAATGGGCAAAGTTTCATTCACCTGACGATCTTGTTTACCTAGCAGCATATAGGTACCTGGGAGTTAGACAGCTGCTATGGGCTGCTTCCTGGGGATGTGTGTGCACGTGTGTTAGAGACAAATGTATGTAGTAGACTTAATAGAAGACAAATAGATTAGTTAGAAAGGCAGGGTTCAAGAGCTAATAGCTTGATTCTGCAGACACAAATAGTAAATGCAGCAGCAGCAGTAGGAAGTATAAAAAAAGGCAAGAACAGCAGCAGGAAGAGGCAAGAACAGCAGCAGGAAGAGGCAAGAACAGCAGCAGCAGGAGGCAAGAACAGCAGCAGCAGGAGGCAAGAACAGCAGCAGCAGGAGGCAAGAACAGCAGCAGCAGGAGGCAAGAACAGCAGCAGCAGGAGGAAAGAACAGCAGCAGCAGGAGGAAAGAACAGCAGCAGCAGGAGGAAAGAACAGCAGCAGCAGGAGGAAAGAACAACAGCAGCAGGAGGAAAGAACAGCAGCAGCAGCAGGAAAGAACAGCAGCAGCAGCAGGAAAGAACAACAGCAGCAGGAGGAAAGAACAGCAGGAGGAAAGAACAGCAGGAGGAAAGAACAACAGAAGCAGCAGAAGGAAAGAACAGCAGCAGCAGGAGGAAAGAACAACAGCAGCAGCAGGAAAGAACAGCAGCAGAGGAAAGAACAGCAGCAGCAGGAGGAGGAAAGAACAGCAGCAGCAGGAGGAAAGAACAGCAGCAGCAGGAGGCAAGAACAGCAGCAGCAGGAGGCAAGAACAGCAGCAGCAGGAGGCAAGAACAGCAGCAGCAGAAGGAAAGAACAACAGCAGCAGGAGGAAAGAACAGCAGCAGGAGGAAAGAACAGCAGCAGGAGGAAAGAACAGCAGGAGGAAAGAACAACAGAAGCAGCAGAAGGAAAGAACAGCAGGAGGAAAGAACTGCAGCAGCAGGAGGAAAGAACAACAGAAGCAGCAGAAGGAAAGAACAGCAGGAGGAAAGAACTGCAGCAGCAGAAGGAAAGAACAACAGGAGCAGCAAAGAACAGGAGGAAAGAACTGCAGCAGCAGCAAAGGAACAGAGCAGCAGCAGGAAGGGAGAACAGCAGCAGCAGCAGGAAGGGAGAACAGGAGCAGCAGCAGGAAGGGAGAACAGGAGCAGCAGCAGGAAGGGAGAACAGGAGCAGCAGCAGGAAGGGAGAACAGGAGCAGCAGCAGGAAGGGAGAACAGGAGCAGCAGCAGGAAGGGAGAACAGGAGCAGCAGCAGGAAGGGAGAACAGGAGCAGCAGCAGGAAGGGAGAACAGGAGCAGCAGCAGGAAGGGAGAACAGGAGCAGCAGCAGGAAGGGAGAACAGGAGCAGCAGCAGGAAGGGAGAACAGGAGCAGGAGGAGGAAAGAAGAACAGGAGCAGCAGGAGGAAAAGACTGCAGCAGCAGCAGGAAAGAAGAAGAGGAGCAGGAGCAGGAAAGACCAGCAGCAGCAGAAGACAAGGGCAGCAGGAGGCAGAGCCACTGCAGGAGAGAATGAGAGCAGAGGAGCCAGAAAGAAAACAGGCGGAGGCATGGTGAGAGGAGACGAAGAATTACAAGTGTAGAGAGAAAGAGAGAGGGGAGACGGAGAGAAGAGAAGTGTGGAGAGAGAGAGAGGAGAGGAGCAGGGCACCAGAGGGAGGGAGGGAGGGAGGGTCGCCCACACATGGCACTGTCAAACCTCAACCCTGCCTCATATTACCCCCCTCAATATCCAGACGTGGGCGGGGCACGGTCCACCTTGGGTGCCCAGCATGTCCGCGGGGCCGCCTCTCACAGCTCCCACACCTACTTAGTCCACTAGATATGCTGGAGGCGACGCGGCATCCCTCTCGCCTCTGATCGATTGGACAAATGGTTGATGATTGAATGCAAAATGACTTCACCTGCGTCTGTCACTCACCTTTGGGCGCTACAGGAGTCGTCAGCTTGCCTGGCGGCTCTAATAGTTCACTGTGACAAGTTAAACAACGCGCACGCACTACTAGGAAGGAAAATCAACACACAGACAGTGAGAGTAACAAGAAACACCACCTCACTCACTGGCACTGCGAGCGACACTCCGCCATGTTACACACACTGTTGCCACCACTCCTATACTCATCACTTCTTATACACTATACTCTTACCTCTTCCACTTTCAGATTTGACCGGAAAACTATAATTATATTCTTTTGTTAAATATTTAAATAACAGCGGCAAAAGTCAAAGTGAATAATGAGAGGTGTAAGGGTGTGTATGAGGGATGTTATGAGAGAGGGGTGGGAGAGGGATGTGGTAACAGTGTAGGAGCAGGGCGGGGCCAGACGAGATGTTCCGAGGCTTACTATTGGCCAGCGTCGCCGCCGACACTAAGAGCCTAACACAACTTATTATACAAACTTCACATCTTATAACTCAACTCTAACAAACTACAAGGAACGCTTAACTGTAAAAACATACACAAAGCTGCCTGTATTTATTGCACCTCAAAATATGTTCCTTTACCTGGCGAGATAGAGAGGAGAACGCTAGGTAATCAATAATATAATAGAAAGACGTGCCAGTTTCCTGTAATCAATAAAACTCTTATTATAACATCCGCATTCTCTGGCCCATATCACACAACCTAACCTTTATACCTGTATTTGCCAGCCCAACCTCCTAAAATGAAAGTACTTAAAATAACTATTTGGTCGAAAGAACCTGTATGTACTGATGGACCACTAAAAAGTGGACTTTGGTATTTTTAATTTACCCATTTGTTTTTGTTTTTTTACTTTTTTTAATGGCAGCATATATATATAGAAGTTAACCTAACCTTTCCTAGCAATCCTAGGCCTAATACACGCTATATTAGGTCTAAGATTATTATGTCCAAGCATGGAGACCTCATCTTCAGAAAGACATAGCTGCTACTGGGAAAGTTCAACACCGGGCAACAAAAATCAATCATTCCAGAATTAATTAATTAAGTCAACTCTATTACCAGAAATGGTCGAGGGGCACAAGGGCTAACAACACTGCGAACCAGGTATGACAGGCCAGATCTCATCGAAACTTAAAATACTGAATATTATTCTTGTTTAAGATTCAGCTACTCAGTACAAAAGTTCCAAGTAGCACGGGGTATGGTGAGCCCGTAACTTACCTGGCACAGGAGCGGGGCAAGTAGCACTGGCTATGGTGAGCCCGTAGTGGACTTACCTGGCACAGGAGCGGCGCTGTGCAATTTAGAGGATGTTGATCCAGACAACCTCTTCCAATGGTCAGGTGTACCACAAATAAGAAATAGTTTCAAGCTCAACAAGCTATAATGCAAGGCAGAAAACAGGAAATGCTTTTCACCCACAGGGTTATAAACCCATGAAACCGCCTACCCGTCAATGCCGTACATGCCAAAACACTGCTGAATTTTAAAATCCAGCTCGATAATATCATCATGACAAATGGAGAAACCTTTCAGAAGCCACCGGCTTCCTGAACGTGTCGAGGGCGCTAGAAAGATTGTAGTAGTAGTAGTAGTAGGCATCCTTCAGTCTCGGAAGATTATGAAGTTGCGCCCTGACAGGCCGCAAAGCCTGGGTAGGTAGATATGGAGGAGAAGCTGTTACCCATGCAGCAGGTCCCCCCTCTCCACGTTGCTGAAATTATCCAATAGAAAGGCAAATGTTAATACACATGGTTCCAGCAACGTCGCAGGAGCTGCCAGAACGAGGTCGACGTCAACAACGAACTGCCTTAGGGGCTCCAACTCCGGATTCTTCCTCGAGGTTGACTCCTGAAGCCTTGCCCAAAAAAGGGGTGTGGCCGCAAGGCAGCGGAGGTTTAAAATCAGGGTTTTCCTTCCCCTAGATGGGCTGCCTTCCCAGGCTATTGTGGCCCTCAAATAAATTCAGGTAAAACACAGCGAAACTAGAGGGACGAGTGCCCATAGTGGAAAGAACAGTGTCACAGTACTCCATACAGAGTACTGTAACTCTTGTATTGGCAAGAACAAGAGAGATGAAAACCCATAGTGACACCGAAAGTTTGAGAGAAATATTTTCCATTGAAAGAGAAGGAGTTGAGTCAAGTATGAGGAGTTCGAGGAAACTGTCAGTAGGTAGCAAGAGATGTATGCCTTCAGTCGCCTTCTGACTAAGGAAAGAGACCATGCAGTCTCCGTAGGCGGAATGGTAACACACTCGCCCCGCACTTCGCATGCGATTTGGCCTGGGTTCGTATTCTGGCTGGGGAGGATGGACTAGGCGACAACCCTCAACAATACGCCCCTGTTCACCCAGCAGTGAATTCGTTGTTAAATGATTTGGCGGGTCGTATTCCAGGGAAAATTAAGATTAAGGACCTGCCCGAAACGCTATGCGTGGTATTTTTTTTTTTTTTGCGTGGTAGTGGCTTGACAAGAAATTAAGAACGCTTATATATATATATATATATATATATATATATATATATATATATATATATATATATATATATATATATATATATATATATATATATATATATATATATATATATGCCCAAGATTACCATCACAGTGCCGTCGGGATGATGGGCAAATAGCCTCGGCTACCATCATTTGGCTGTAATGATCGAGTGGTTAAGGTCTCTTATACACCAGTTGCATAGTGCTTGAGAATCTGAAGTAAGGCAGTAGCTATTCTGACAGGTTTTGTGCCAATCGCACATTAATCAAAGAAAAGTAAATCAAAGAAAAAACTGCTTGTGTCCTCTACAGTATGAGAGCTGCCGATAAAAACCAAAGAAAAATTTCAAACATTTAATATAACAAAAAAGACTTTAATAACACACAAAATAATAATTAATAATTAATGAAAAACAAAACCCTTAGGCACTTGGCTTTACACAAGATCAAAAAGAGAAATATATACAAGTGAAATTTACGTTAATATCAAAGGTGCAATAATTCTTTATACAAAAACCGTAATTATTTATTTATTTATTTATTTATGCATATACAAGAATGTACATAAGGAATGTGAGGATACAATTATGGTAATTACAGTCTTGTAAAGCCACTAGCACGCGCAGCGTTTCGGGCAGGTCCTTAATCTAAGAAAATTTTAAGGAGGTAAATACTTGCAAAATTTATAGACAAAAAAATGATAACAGATTACATGGAATGAAAAAAAAAAAAAAGATGAGAGAAAATTATAGGTACAGTATATTAAAGCACATAGGTAGCTATGATTGATTGCAATGACAGCTTAAAATGGTAGTTGACAACAAATTGGTAGGCACAATACAGCAGAAACAATATAAGATTGATTGCAATGACAGCTTGAATGGTAGTTGACAAAAATTGGTAGTCACAATACAGCATATGGCTAGCACATAAAAGAAGACAGCAATGAACACAATGATAAGGTTGTTTGATATTACATAAAAATTAGGAGATTGGGTACCACTAGGTACAGAGCAAATTTAAAGCTCAGTGTAGGAAACTAAATAGATGAAGTTAGGTACTTTTTGGTTTTGCTTTTAAATAAGGCAAAAGTTTTACAGTTTTTCAATTCACTAGGGAGTGAGTTCCATAGACTAGGTCCCTTAATTTGCATAGAGTGTTTACACAGATTAAGTTTGACCCTGGGGATATCAAAGAGATATTTATTTCTGGTGTGGTGATAATGGGTCCTATTACATCTGTCCAGGGAGAGTTTCAGATCATGGTTTGCATTTAAGAACAGGGTTTGTAAATGTAGTTGACACAAGAGAATGTGTGGAGGGAGTTAATATTTAGCAAGTTTAGAGATTTAAACAAGGGAGCTGAGTGTTGTCTGAAAGCAGAGTTAGTTATTATTCTGATAGCAGATTTTTGCTGTGTGATGATGGGCTTAAGGTGGTTTGCAGTGGTAGACCCCCATGCACAGATACCATAATTAAGATAGGGGTAGATTAGTGCATAATATAGTGAGAGGAGAGCAGAGTTAGGAACATAATATCTGATTTTGGAGAGTATACCAACTGTCTTAGAGACTTTCTTAGTTATGTGTTGAATGTGGGTGCTGAAGTTGAGTCTCTTGTCTAGGAATAGGCCAAGAAACTTGCCATCATTTTTATTACTGATGTTAATGTTGTCTATCTGTAGCTGAATTGCATTTGATGATTTGCTTCCAAATAAGATGTAGTAAGTCTTTTCGATGTTTAATGTTAGTTTGTTCGTTGACATCCATAAGTGGACTTTTTTTAATTCATTATTCACAACATTATTTAGTGTATGTGGGTTGAGGTTTGAGTAGATAAGGGTAGTATCGTCAGCAAACAATATAGGTTTGAGAATATTAGAGACATTAGGCAGATCGTTTATATATATAAGAAATAGAAGAGGTCCTAAGATGCTGCCCTGTGGCACTCCAACGGTAATTGGTAGAGTGGAAGAAGTTGTATCATTGATGGTTATATATTGGTGTCTGTCACTAAGATAGGATCGGATGTAGTCAAGGGCAAGGCCTCGGATTCCATAATGCTGGAGTTTAAATAAGAGGTAGTTGTGATTAACAGTATCAAAGGCTTTTCTTAGGTCAATGAAGAGTCCAATCGGAAACTCATTTTTGTCAAGGGCTGAGTAGATAATGTCAAGGAGACTAATCATTGCATCATTGGTACTCTTTTGGGACCGGAAGCCAAACTGGCAGGGGCTGAGTATGTCGAATTTTACGAGGTAGGAATAGAGCTGTTTGTAAATAATTTTTTCAAATATTTTTGATAGAATGGGTAGATTTGATATTGGTCTATAATTGTTTATGTCCGCCGGATTGCCTCCTTTATGGACTGGCGTTACTCTTGCTTTTTTGAGGATATCAGGGAAGGTGTGACACTCTATAGATTTGTTGAACAGTAGTGCTATGGGTGGGGCAAGGGCATGGGAGGCTCTCTTGTACACAATGGACGGAATTTCACTGGTGTTCCCTGCCTTGGTTTTTAGAGAGTGTATGATGGACACAACATCTGCCGGGCTGATTGGTGAAAGGAGAAGAGAGTTTGGATAGCTGCCTGAGAGATATGTGTTAATATGTGTCTGAGTCTGTGGGATTTTACTGGCAAGATTAGCACCAACCGATGAAAAGAAACTATTAAATTCATTTGCCATTTCTAAATCAGTTGACGGTATATCCCCATCCTTGTAGAGTTTTATTTGATTATGTGAGTGTTGTTTAGTTCCTAGGATACTAGAGATAGTTTTCCAAGTGTTTTTCATGTTGCCTTTTGCTTCATTGAATCTATTCACATAATATGCAAGTTTTGCCTTTCTTATGATACTGGTAAGCATTGATGAGTACCTTTTAGCTACTTCCTTTGAAACTAGGCCAATCCTAACTTTCTTTTCATATTCATGTTTCTTGTTGATTGAGTTGAGAATGCCATTTGTGAGCCATGGATTGTTTAATCTTTTGTCAGTTACTTGCTTTGTAAGAAGGGGACAATGAAGGTTGTAGAGGCTTAGAGTTTTGGAGAGGAAGAGGTTAGCTAATGAATTTATATCATGGGTATTATTGAATTCAGAATCCCAGTTAATATTGTGAAGTGCCTCTGTAAGATTGTCTAAAGCTGATTCACTGTGTAGCCTAAATTCAACTTGAGAGCAGTTTTGTTGACCCAGGTCAATATTAAAGTCTCCTCCCAGAATGATGTGGTTTTTGTTGAGATTGTTGTTTATAATAAGATTCCTTAGGTTGTCTGAGAAAGAAGCTATGTTAGTATTGGGAAATCTATAGATGGCTCCAATAGTCAAAGAGGATTTAAGGGATTTAATTGTAAACTGAGCAAAAGTATATTCACAGTAGTCATCTCTGTCACTAATAACACTGTTGCAGATAAATGTATCTCGGTAATATATAGCTGTGCCACCACCTATATAGCTGTGCTAATTAAGCGTCTGCCATCACCCGGGGGAGCAAGAGTAGATGTTACAGCTGAGAACACTCGAAGTGTATTCTAATGTCTGGACAATTGATTGATTGATGAAGATTAAGCCACCCAAAAGGTGGCACGGACATGAATAGCCCGTAAGTGGTGGCCCTTTTGAGCCATTACCAGTATCATTATCTGATACAGGAGATCTGTGGAGGTGCGACTGCATCCTACGGAGAGGTCGTGACCTCTGAATGTCTGGACGAATGATTGATGAAGATTAAGCCACCCAAGAGGTGGCACGGGCATGAATAGCCCGTAAGTGGTGGTCCTTTTGAGCCATTACCAGTATCTAAAGATGATACTGGAGATCTGTGGAGGCGCAACTGCACCCTGCGTGACGGGAGATGTCTCCCGGACCAAATGGTGACCAGATGGTGAATGTCTGGACGCTGGCGAGCCCTATTTATATGAGGCATGACGTCAGAGGTAGCGCGAATCTGAAGGTAACTATCGGCTAGCAGAAGAATGGTCGTTAGCGGGTGGCGTCTAGTCCCCTGCCGAGACTGGCAGCAGGGGACCTGGCGCGAATCTGAAGGTAACTATCGGCTAGCAGAAGAATGGTCGTTAGCGGGTGGCGTCTAGTCCCCTGCCGAGACTGGCAGCAGGGGACCTGGCGCGAATCTGAAGGTAACTATCGGCTAGCAGAAGAATGGTCGTTAGCGGGTGGCGTCTAGTCCCCTGCCGAGACTGGCAGCAGGGGACCTGGCGCGAATCTGAAGGTAACTATCGGCTAGCAGAAGAATGGTCGTTAGCGGGTGGCGTCTAGTCCCCTGCCGAAACTGGCAGCAGGGGACCTGGCGCGAATCTGAAGGTAACTATCGGCTAGCAGAAGAATGGTCGTTAGCGGGTGGATTATGTGCCTCTGTAACCCTTTCCACTACCGTCCACAAGATGGGTATGGTTTTTTTTTATTATTATTATTTTCTACCACAGACGTGGCCAAATAATAAATGAACTAAACTAAAAAAAAAAACTAAAAACAGTATTGTTTGAAAATAGCAAGACATGGGTTGACATTTAGGGGGTAAGGTAGGTTACATGGAGTTTATTAGGTAGAACTTAGTTTTCCTATTAAACTGGTTAAGAGAGGTACAGCCTTTGACATGAATGGGAAGGTCATTCCACATTCTGGGCTCCCTTGATTTGTAGAGCATTTCTAGTTTAGTTAAGGCGCAGTCTTGGATTATCAAATATATATATGTAATATATATCTAGAGAGACATATATATTTAGAGATATATATAGCCACCTTAACTTGTATAAAAGTTAAGGTGCGGCGGGTGTTGGGAGGATCGGAGGACAGCCGCCCTGGAGGAGTGTAAACAGTGGTGGCTGGTGGCGGGCGTCGCGTACCTCCCCTCTTCTCTCACATTACCTCCTTCTTCTCACACATTACCAATGTAAGGTCACTTGTCTGGCCTTCAGCCGAGTCTAAGTGCTCTTGGAGGTGCGTCTTGGGCAGCGATCGCCTGGAAAATGTTATTAGTGTCAGCTTTGGGCATTTGTGTAGTTAAGTCAGGTTCTTTGGTCCAATTCACGGCTAGTAACTTATTTTGTCCTATTGTCATCCCGGCTTGGTGCCCTCTTTTGATAATTACTTCCTTCCTATTGTCATATTAATGCAATATTATGTTGACAGACGTTAAATACACTTATTTTGTCCAAGATTAGTCAAATTATTGAGAATCATGTTTTTTCTGTTGATGTACAGTATTTTCAAGAATGTACTACTATTAAAGATATTATTTTCAGGCAAGGAATCCTAAACAATAGTTAATTACAAAATAATGATTAAAATACAAGACGAGTAAGCTGATAATTGTAGATTTTATCTTGGTAAAATACAATATTTTTTATAACCCTATTTTATAATGTATAACTACAGTTGTAGGTGTACAAATATTCAGTAGGTCTTTATTACCAAGTGCTAGATAATCATAATGGCTGAGTAGCAGCTTCTGAAAGTGATCTTGTCTAACTGCCTTCTGCACCTTATACCAAGCAGACTTTTATAGTCAGAACTTGTGCACTATTAGGTTAGACTTGGTTAGGTTATATTATAATTATGTTAGGGGGTTAGCTTTGGTTTGGTTTAACCAAGAGATTAGCTTTTACCAGTCTACTTACAATAGATTGTGCATGAGTATCTTTAACTCTCTTAATATAATACTCTTCTATTTCTTCTGGAAATGGAATAATGACTAATAGTATCTATTTACATTTTTATGTTAATTTTCTCCTTATACAATACATAGCATATGATTTGTCTATTCTTATGATATAGGCTACCCCCAGTAATGCTGACCTGAAATATTCTGTGTATTAGAGACTTTATTTAATGTGCAAGCTCTGTACCTACCAATATATCACTCTAATATGTTCTTATGTTTATTTTATAAATAAAATTATTATTATTATTTCACAGAGAAATCACATTAACATGATATATCAAAGAACAAATCCACAGGAGCCTTGATGAAGGTTCGAACCAGTGCAGTGGGTAGTCTCGCGCACACGCCCCAGACAATCTGGTCCATAACATGGTCATGTTGTGGCCTGGTTGTCTGGGGCGTGTGCATGGGACTACCCACTGCATGGGTTCGAATCCTCATCATGGCTTCTACGTATTTTCTTACTGATACATCACTTTAGCGTGGTTACTCTCTGTGTATTATTATTATTATTGTTATTATTATTATTATTATTATTATAAATAAAAGTACACTGTGAGCATGCATGTGTATACAGTACATACTTACAAATGGAGTTCAAGGGTTTCATGCAGTGGGGGGGGGGGGGAGGAGGTAAAGACTTTTTATTATTTTATAAGGTCTTATTTTATTATTTAATTTTTAATTCGTATACAGAATTACAAATTTATTCAGAATTAATAAATTTATTTGATTTATTTCAACTGGAAACTTTTTATCATCAGTAATTTATACTTACAGGAATGATGCCCCCCTCACCAAATAAGTCTAAAAGTGTCCATAAATCGTCGGGGAAATTATTTCGTCACAAAGACAAGGAACGCTCAGGAAGTAGTGGCAGCAGCAGTGGAAGCAGTGCTAACAATGGAAGCAGTAGCAGCAGCAGCAGTAGTAGTAGCAGTAGTAAACGAGATGACCCCATGGATCTTAAAGACTGTCCTCTTGGTCTTCCTGTTGTTGGGTCCTTGGACCATGCTCGATCACTCCCTCGCTACACAGCACGTAAGTTCACAAGTGTATTTTCTCTTTGTTGAATGCCTATTACATCCTTGAATTAAATTATAGTAGAAATAGAGATGTTTAAATGGTTTCTGTATTATTTTTCCAGTGTTTTTTATATATACATACATACATACATACATACTTGTACACAAGAGTCACCCAGTGTTTTGTGTATTACCCTGGTTGCTGTACTGTATTAGCTTATCACTTGCAACAACTTCAACTACCACTATTGACTTACATTTTGCATTCTCTGAGTCTCTCTTCCTCGTGGGGAAGAAGAATTCAGGGATATATAAATTTAATTTCTTGATATTTGAATCAATTCATTTTTCTCTGTACTGTGCAGCATTTCAAAAACTAAGGCATTTTTAACCACTTTTGAAATATTCACCAAGCACATCATTAGCTGTTGCATAGGTGAACTACTTGTTTAATTTTTTTAAAGTTATGTTTAAAAGATAGTATTGAATGTAATGAAATACCTCTTTCTGATAGGGCCTCAGTGCCACCCTAAAGCTAGCTTGCAGAGATGGCTCCTCCCTAATAAGTAGCGTCAGCCTTAGGAGTTCTGTATGGCCCACAAAATCAGAACCAGAACCTGGCTTCCCTCACAGAGGTATAGGGAGCAGGGGATTCTTATGATCACCCTCACTGAGAAAACAATCAGAAAGTTAGTGAAGCAATACAGATAACTGTAAGGTCAAAGAAAGCAAAGCACTGAAATTGGTGAGAAACAGGAGGCAGCATTACCAGGAACTTCTGGCTTCCATGCCATCTTGGCCTCAGTCCTGTTGCTGATGTCCACAAATGCAGACCACCTCAAGTTGTTGGCCTTAGTGAGTCCCATTTTTTTCTGACGTAAGTGTGAGGCTAGGGAGCTTTATGATGTTCTTGTGTGTCATACATAAAAACTTGGACTGGCTTCAGGAGGGACCTTCAGACTTCAAATGATTTCAATAGAAATCTGGTTGTATGACTCTTACAAATCATCAGTGGTACAGTGGTAGAGTATGCGGCTGACAATGCCTTGGTCGTGGGTTTGTGTCGCTTCACAGCCCCAGTGGATTTTCTCACTGTATTTGGGCTTGGATGTCAGAGGTTCAACAAGGTCCTAGTAAATTGTTATCTGGTCAGTGTTCCAAATGAAATAAAATCAAAAACATTATTCATAAATGGTTGTACATTTATAATTGTGAAAGTTTACATAAAATGTACAGTACATTAAATACTTTTGTCACAATAACAACATAGTACATAGACATTGTCATTATTAGAATCATAAACTTATTCTCTAACAACTAATATAAATCATTGTAATACTGACTGGAATAGATAGGATTATATGTAGCAGTCTAAATCAGACTTTCATTTTAGGCATAAAGTAAGTAACATTGTCAGGCTTGTTTTGCCCTAGGTCAGATTTCCTATACTGGTAACGCCATGATTTCCCCACTTCCCCTATACTGGATACATTGGTTAATGATCCTTCAGCTCCAGACTGAGGCCAAGATGGCATGAAATCTGGAAGTTCCTGGTGATGATGTCTCCTGTTGGTAGCCAGCAGTAATTAAGGGGGTTCAAGCTAGTTTGAGTGAATAGTATTTAGAATTGTCTGGCTGTTTCGGTGCTTTCCTTTCTTTGAATATTGCAGTTTTCTGTATTGCTTCACTGACTTTGTGGAATTTTATTAGTGAGGGTGATCATAATCCCCTGCTTCCTTTGCCTCTGTGAAGGAGCCAGGTTGTGGATATGGTTCCCATTAGGCCATTCAGGACTCGTAAGGCTGATGTCACTCGGTAGGAGGAGCTATCTTAGCGAGTTAGCTTCAGGGAGCCACTGTTCAGCCCCTCAAGCAATTGTATTTTATTTTTGAAGTTTACACTGGGGTATGTACTGTACTGATGTTTTGATGACTACCTGTAAGAACCCTGCAGTCCTTACAACTAAAAGGTGTCATTCACAGTTGTGAATAATGAAGGGGTGTCAATGGAGGAACTGGATGGTCTTCAATTAGAGCTGGAGTTATTGCTGTCATCAGTTTTGGTACGACAGATGGCTTTTAACAACCAGCTGTCCATCATTTACCAGTTAGAAAAAGGCAAATACGTTCCAAAGCCTGTGAGTACTATGCTGTTTTATTTACTATTTTTTCCTTCCTGTTATTCACATTAATATTTTATTTTGTTGTCTTTTAAAATTCTGCTGATCTTATTATACTTAATTATCTATTTTTCTAAGTCTCCTTGTTTTGCTCTTATTAATGTTATACTCTCTAGTCATCTGTTTAAGTATGCTATGTTGGATGATACTTTATGGTGCTAAGTGCAGTATGGCTTTTATATGATGTTGAATAAGAAGCAATCACATATTGACTAGTGTTCCTTTATTTAGCCTGTGTCACCTGGTAAGAAAATGAAACGAGATGAAGGTGAAAGGCCATCAAAGAAGATGAAAGATTCTAGTGGAAAGTCACGAGAGGTTTTATCTTCACCTGGACCTCCACCTGGAGTTAAACCCTCTAAGGTACACTATAGTTTATTACAACATAGTACTCTATATTACATTGTAACTTTGGATATATTAAACAAATTATTATGATAAGGTTGAATTTATAGTATTATGTAAATTCAGGGACAGTTAGACTAGTCTTATTAAATTCTAACTTGCTAACTGCTTTAGTATAATTAATGTACAAATGTACTCTGCCTGGAATGCTGTGCATGTTAGTGGCTTTACAAGAATGTAAAATACCAATCTTATGTAATCTCTCAAACCCATTGTACCTTTTTGTATTTTAAATAAATTTATTATTACATTATTATTATTATTATTATTAGTAGTAGTAGTAGTATTATTGAGGAAATCCACCAGGGCTGTGAGGTGGCGCAAACCTACAATCTCAGCATTGCCAGTTGCATACTCTACCACTGCCGTAGGTTCTGGTCTGCTGGGGGTCATAGGTTCGCGCTACCTCACAGTCCTGGTGGATTTTCTCATTGATATTTGTCACGTTAGTGTGATTATTATTATTATTATTATTGTTTATTGTAAGATATTGCTTATTCTTTAAATGTAATGTCTAATATTTACTATATGTTACTCCAACAGGTCAAATGCTCAGTTCAGAAATATGAACCAGTATTTGATGTCCCAGATTTAGGTCCACCAGAGCAGCCTAAACCACCACCACCTAAGAATGACATTACTAATCGCTTCTGGGCCTATGTAGAGCAGTACTGTCAAGAAATTACTGTGGATGATATAAAGGTAAGTGATTAATAATCCACTTCAATCCATACACTGTACAAAAGAAACTTTTCATTACCTGAGAAAGAGGAAGAAAAATAGATAGTGTATGTACACAAAGTGAAGATGAACTGTAAAAAACAAAATTACCTCACATTGTTTCACTATGATGAGGTATGGGAGTTGTACAATAGTAACTGATAGAGATTTTTTTGTATTTTCTTCTGTTTCTGGGGGTTTTATATAAAAATTGTTTTAATTATTTATATTCTAAACATACATAATTGAAACAATCATTAGTGTACAGAAGTACACCACATTACCTGTACTTTTTAGGCCTAAGGTATTTTTCATTTTCCCTTCTGTTTCCTTTGTTCATTGTACTCTGTGTACACTAACACTACAGTCAAGTATTATGCGGGAAGAGGTTGCATCTGATTTAAACACCACGCAACATTTTTTTTGTCACTAAATAAAATGTAATCGTCATAGGTGGCACTGTTAAGTGTATTAGCTTGTGGAACCAAGTTTGTTTTATTTGACAATGCAGAGTTCTCTCTACCATGATCTTGAGGTTATCTTGAGATGATTTCGGGGCTTTTGGTGTCCTCGCGGCCCGGTCCTCGACCAGGCCTCCACTCCCAGGAAGCAGCCTGTAACAGCTGACTAACACCCAGGTACCTATTTTACTGCTAGGTAACAGGGGCATAGGGTGAAAGAAACTTTGCCCATTGTTTCTCGCCGGTGCCCGGGATCGAACCCGGGACCACAGGATCACAAGTCCAGCGTGCTGTCCGCTCGGCCGACCGGCTCCCTCACCATAACTTGCACTATGAACAGTAGCACATGATCACAATAATACAGTATCTTAAAGCACTAATTTGGTACTGTTGCCAACTCAGAGTATTGAAATATAAAAATATAAAATGATCTGAGAACGTTGGGAACTCTCGAGAGTATAGGCTGAACAATCAAGTGTTGATGACAGTGCTTTGTGCCACCCACCAACCAGTTTTTTAATTGCTTTCCTTGCTGTTAGCCACTTTATAATGAGGTGGACATACAAGTTAACTATGTGTGCTTGTGTTTGGAAGAAGAGATTCATAACTGGATGGAATGCATTTACTAATGCCTGGAAAGGAAACTATGGATAGCATGAGGTTTAATGAGCTGAGAATCACTAGTGTGTTGCACAAGGAATAACCTAACATATAAATAATTATGTGATGAAAACAGTAGTAATACAAGTGTTGAGAAAATGGAAAATGACAATGTCATTCAATTTGGATTAGATGATATTAGGACATAACCTTTACAGTAAATCTTTATATTAACATTCTTAAGTGGTGTGGACAGTAACAAAAAGAACAAAAATTAAATGATGCTGATTGTTTATTAAATGGTTTTGTTCTTCAAGAGAACAAAACTAATGACTGTGAATACTAATTAGGGTGAGAGATGAGCATAGTGTTTTGGCTGAAGTAGGGCTCTTGGACCAAAGTGGATACACTTTGTAATAGTTTGTAATAGTCACATGCAATAGTAGAGTATTTTTCTGTTTATGTATATACATCAGTATTTATATAATATTAACTTTTCAGATGTTGGAGGACCTTATTAATAGTCCCAATGATGACAGTGACTATTTTAAGACTCCACCGTTGGGACGCCACTACACTCTGCGGTGGGCTCAAGAAGATTTACAGGTAAAGTATTGCTCCCCTTTCAGCGCCAGCTTCTGCTAAATTGGACTGGACAGTATTTCAATTGTTTATATTTTGATATACTTTTTCTACAGTAAAGTAACTCTTTCAATTTTGTTTTTCATATTGCATATACAGTACTGGGAGAATGAACAAATCCACAAGGGCCGTTCCTTGTAGAATGTCCTGATTTTCAGGATGATTGGATATCTTATTTTCGCAGTATTCTTTTGAGTCACAAATCCCTAGATAAAAATTTTGGTGAATGTGATATCTTTGATATTGCTTGTCTTACGTCTTTTTGCTCTTTTATTGGCATCCTAAATGATATCTTGGATTTGTTTCATATTCTTTGACTTGCATGGTGCTAAATAGTCTTTCAGGCTTGGTGCATTCTTTTGATAATTACTTAATGCTCCCCATATGCTTGGTATCTTCTCTTATCTCTCTTAGTCACAAAATGCTGTAATCTATTTGCACGTAATGACAATATTGTTAAGAATTTACAATTTTGTATGGAAAATATTTGTCAGTATGTGACCATAGTTGCAAAATGTTATTCACTTTTTTCCTAGGATGAGCAGAAAGAAGGTATGAAGCTGGCTGAAGGGAAGAAGAAAGGAATAAAGGGGGATTCTGGTAACTCTGACTTGTCGGATAAACTTCTGAAAGAAGTGGATATGAATGGGTAAGTGATGTTAAGGCTGAGCTTGCCATTGTAATAGATGCAGCATTTTTTATAAGCAGACATTGCTCCTGAGATCTTGACACCATACTTGAGTTAATGGTCCTGTCTTACCTGCCTCATTTATGTATGCCTTCATGTTTTGTTACTGCTTTCCCTGTAATAATTGATAATATGCTGCATATTCTTCATGCTACATTAATAAATGATTACAATAGCTATACAGTACATTACTTCAGTGTTGGATATTTACACAGGACTTGAGATGTGCATTTAATTGGCTTCATGATGCTCAAGCGGCAGATAATGAAAAAATATATATGTTTATCCATGGGAAGTGTATAACAAGGTGGTGGTGCACTCTCCGCAGCTGCAGTGATGACGTTGCCCCGCTTGGCCCTCTCACACAGAGACTAATTGCTGGTCTCGTAGAGGAGAATGTCCTAGTATCTGATATTGAGAACAAAGGTAATTATTTCCTGATACTATTAATATTAATACTGTATTCACACTATCCTTTCTTTTTATATCTATCCTTAAAGAATGATTTGGCATTTACAAAATTTTGTCGGTCAGATCAGTTAGGTGTTCCTAGTTAAAATTTTATCTATTCATTCACTAAAATGTTTTGTTTTCGTCAGAGCTTAGCTGTGGTGAACATCTTAGTATGTTATGTTGGAATATTCCGATACTCTACACTAGAAAGTATAATACTGGTTGTTATTGATGTTATTTTCTGTAATACTTTATACCTTCCTGAATTTGCTGTTCTCTTGATGGGAAAATGGTTCTAGTTGGTGAGCAAATGTTCAAGAAAACCAAAGCATGCACCAAGTTTTTTGATGATTGAGAAATTGTTGGAGGTGCCTAGATGTTTTTTAGGTTGCTGTCTAGCAGTGCACATAATTGTTGCCTAGTGTGCAACAGGGAAGGGTGAGCTGCTGGTCGATTAAGGCAGTGTCTGGGATGCTCTTGGACGTAGGTTTGAATCCTCTTTACGGCCCTTGTGGATTTGTTCATTTGATGCATCGTGCTATTGTGATTTCTGTGTGCAATGAAGTAAGGGCGAAGAGGTAGAGCGGCTTGTTGACATAGCTCGAGTGCATGGGGGAGTTGTGTAAAACCCTGGTTTGTGCCTTGAGAGAGGCTGCAGGATCCAATAAGTTCAGTAGAACTTCTGGTTTCACCTCTCTTTGACCATGTTGTAGCTCAGTCGATTAAAGCAGCGTCTGGGATGCTCTCGGATGTAGGTTCGAATCCTCGTCACGGTCCTTGTGGATTTGTTCGTGAACTGCTACATAGTCTTCCTGGCTTGGAGCATTCTTTTGATAATTAATTACTTGGTTAATTACTACATTCACAAACAACACTGTAGTTACAAGATGAGAGCTATGCTCGTGGTGTCACGTCTTCCCAGCACTCTGTCATGTAATGGTTTGAAACTAATGCACTGATAGTTTTGGCCTCCACCACATTCTCACTTGTTCCAACCGTCTACCACTCTGTTTGCAAAAGTGGATTTTCTTATATTTCTTCGGTAGCTTTGTTTAGTTGGCTTATATCTATGATCTCTTGTTCTTGAAGTACCGGGTCTCGGGAATTCTTCCCTATCAATTTTGTCAGTTCCTGTTACTATTTTGTATGTAGTGAACATATTGCCCCTTTTTTCATCTATCTTCTTGTTTTGGCATATTTAATGCCTCTAACCTCTCCTCGTAGCTCTCGTCTGTGCATTTGGTTTTAACTATTTTTCTAGTGTTTTGACTACCACACTTGTTAACGATATGGGTCTATAATTTTGAAGGTCTTCTTTGCAACCATTTTTGTAGATTGGAACTAGATTTGCCATTTTCCATACATCTGACATCCATACAATTTATACATCTGTACACAAAGATGTCTAAATTATCAATTAAAGGGGAATGCTCAGGTCAGGTACACATTCTCTCAGAAACGAAGGTGAAACTCCATCTGGTCCAATTACTTTATTTCTTCCTAGCTCATTGAGTAATTTTCCGACTTTGTGTGTTTAATTACCTAAATGTAGTTATGGGGTGAGAGCTATGCTCGTTGAGTCCTGTCTTCCCAGTACTCTTTATCATATGACGCTTTGAAACTACTGATGGTTTTGGCCTCCACCATCTTCTCGCTTAACTTGTTCCAACCGTCTACCACTCTGTTTGCAAAAGTGAACTTTCTAAGTTTTTTTTTTTTTAACACTTTTTCTTTGAACCTATGTCCTCTTGTTCTTGAAGTTGCTGTTTTCAAAAATTCTTCTTTGTCAATTTTATCTTTGTTATTATTTTGTATGTACAGTAGTGATAATATCATCTCTTGTTTTTCAGTTCTTGGAGCCATTTAGTTACATGTCTTTCTAACTTTTTAAGTTTATTGATTTGTTTGTTGAGATTATGGGCACCATACAACTGCTGCATATTCCAACTTTGGTCTCTCAAAGGTCATGAACAATTTCTTTAATTATTCATTTCTTTAATTGTTTAATCACCATCTGTGTACTTAAGTGGTTTTAAAGTTGGAAAGAGTAGCATATGCTTCTTACGCAGTGCTCTTTGTGTGGTCCTCGGGTGATATTTTCTATCCAGAACCACACCCTAGATTTTTCTTTATCAGAATTCTTTAAAGCTCTTTCACATAATTTATTAATTTGTTTGTTTGTGTGTCTGTCTGTTTCTTTCTTTCTTTCTTTTCATGAATCTGTTAGAGCCTGACATACAGTACATAAGGTTAGTACAGTATTTGAGTTAGTGGGTCTCGCAAACAAAACTGATTCCTTTCATTGCATCTGAACTGTTATTTGATTGGTTTCCTTTTGAGTGGGATATTACTTTACATTGAAGCTTTCAAAATATTGTACATGTTGTTGTATTTAAAAATAAAATTTTATAACAGGAGTGGATGGATTGGGCCATACACGACCAGGCCTCATCAAATCTTTAGGATTAGGCAGTGCATCCAGTCTGGAGAAGCGAATAAAAAAAGAACTTCAGGAACAAGGAGTCATGGAGACAGATTATGGCAACGAGGTAATGTGAGTTATGGAAAGGATAAAAGTAGGCTATTTTATAAGATGCTGGAAACATGTTGAAAACCTCAACTATAATACTGCAAACTTTATAATACAGTATGTCACACAAGTTACAAGGATAATTATCTCTCAAGATACAGTAGTTAGCTTAGTTATGAAAATTTAATAGTGTTTACACCGTAAACACTATTAAATTGCAAATAACATACACAAAGCAGTATGTTTAGTACTGCTTGGGTATTAGACATTTGTCTAGTATGGGTCACAAGTCTATATTATTTACAGATGCAGTATTCTGTGCTTGTCTTAATGTATTTAGTGAATTTAAATCGAATGCTGAATTAATTAGAAATTGTTTTAACTTTAGTACTTGGGTTCTAGAGATGTACAATGTTTGTTGTTATGAGAATGTATATGTATTTACATCAAACTTTATAAGCTAGTAGTGACTAATTAAACTTTCATGTGAATAAATATACAGTACTGTATTATGAAATATCATATATTTATTATGTTGTTATATATGAAACATACATTAAGATTTGTCTTGCAGGCAAAATGTAATTTACAAATTACAGTAAATTACTGTACTTGCATCTTGGTCTGTGTTTGTAGTGTTTCTCTACATTGTTGTCAGTGTGTTGTGCTCTCTTCAGCCAAGCAATACTAAGCTTGCATAATTTTGAATGTATTACAGATGTAGGTATAAACCAGATAAAAAACTTTCAGGACGATGATGATGAAATATTATCGGAGCTCCGACGGTGTCAATCTGAACTACGTGCAGTTTCGGCTCACAATGTCACACAATTGACTCGCTTGCTGAATCTTGCCCGAGAGTCACTGGTGCGTCATGATCTAAAAAAGAGACTTCGAGATGCAGATCAAAAGGTGAGTTGCTTTTTGATCAGATTGCTAATGCTGTGGAAATTTAAAAAATGTGTTCACAAAAATACAATACCGTACAGTATTGTTATAGTGTGCCGAGATGAATATGAGAATATCATTGGCAGAGCTAAGTGTTACCATTAGAAATTGAGCAGAGGCTCACAAATTTAATAAGCAATTATCATAATACTGAGGTATTTATAATGGTTGATAATGTTCAATCAGGTTGTGAAGATTAGATAATCATAAAATATTGTTTTACAGTTCAAGTGTAAAGAGGATACTGTTACACTTTTTGTATTCATTGTTATGATGTCAGAGAAATAATGACTTGTGTATCATTGCAGTTTTATTATTTGGTCTTGACAGGTGGTGGAAGCATACAGAACAATAGCAGCGGCTCGCCAGAAAAAGAAAACTCCATCTAAGAAGGATAAAGATATTGCATGGAAGGCTCTTAAAGACCGAGAAGTTATTGTTCGACAATTAGATTTAGCATTGAATAATAATTGTTAAATATGTATAGTAATGCAGGATATTAAGTGGCGCTTTACATTATAAGTTATATAATAATCTGCCTATGCCTGTACAGTGGTACCTCCGTTTTTTAATTTAATCCATTCCCAGAGACGGTTCGACAACCAAATTAAAAAACCAAAACCCATTTTCCAATAAGAAATACTGTAATGGAAGTTGAATTAGTCTGTTCCACACCCCCAAAAATATTAACTTAAAAATACATTTTATACATAATACTTGATCCATATTTTGTACTACATTATGTATAAGTATATCTTACTTTTATTGAGGACTCTTGTTGGCATTTGGAAGACGGTGAGGAGGAGGAGAGGTGTTAGTGTTCGGAAGGAAAGTCCCCTTCCATTATAACATCAGGCAGTGAGGACATTTCTGGGGTACTCTCTCTCCTATATTTTGCAGGCATATTTCTATATTTTGCAGGCTGGTTGTGGCTCACTGCTTGCTTGTCTTACTAAGAATCTGTCTAAAGACACTTGTTTTTCCCTACGTTTTGACACTTGTCTGTAGTGAGACATCACATTCATTCATTACGAATGATCTCTTGTTTTTTCTCTATCATCCTCACAACTATTTTCTTAGGTTGAACTTTACCACTGACTTTCTTGGGACACTTGGTGTGATATATTATAAGTAAGTGTATGTTCAGAAACCAAAAAAGCACAAAAACAATTAAATTCTTCACAAAGAATTCAAGCGTGGTCGTCACTAGGCGGGACACACTGGTAGACTGAGGCACACCACGTGCATCAACAAACTCGAGAAGTGAGGCAAACCTCGAATACCGAGTTGAATTTTATGAAGAATTTGAGCTTGAAAACCGACAAATTTGAATAGAGGGGCATTCAAAAGCTGAAGTTCCACTGTACAGTATATTTATAGACCATCGTCACAAGCAGAATTCTCGTCATTGTAATAAACTGTGCTAATATTATTAGCTATGAAGTATTAAGGAATAAATATATGTAACATTAATGTAAGAAAAATGGCTGACACTTTCTAGCAGTAGTGCTTACCATTAGTTATTGACAGCAGTGTATGCTTTAATGTATGTTATTTGGTGTTTATTTTTTTTTATATTGTACTTAGAATAAGCATTTTCAATATTTAAGTACTATTTAAAAATATTTTTTTTAAACATTGTATAATACAAGCTTAAATGTCTTTAAATATTTAATTAAAATTAGGACAACATGTTTCTGTGTCTTGTTGCTTTAGATGTTAGCAAATTAACCATTAATGCGATGCATCATGGAAAGATACTCTCAACATGCAAGAATAATCTCATTAACTACGTTGTTAAGACAATTTTGTATGGAACCATTTGTCTTCTAACTTTTATTAAAAGTTTAAAAGCATCAATTGCTGTATAATTTCCCCTAGAGTGCCTAAGCAGTGTGTTTGAGCCATCATAGGCTTAAGAAGTTAGATGACTTAGCTTCAGATGCACATTGAAGGTTGTGTTATTTTTAACTCACAGCTTTTGTAGAAACGTATTATACATTTATTGGTAGTCTAGAGTCAGTTGTTACCCATGTTTCTCAGGCTTTTAAGAATCATAAGACATTTTCTCTACAGTTATTATTTGACAGGGCTCTGTTCCAAAATTTAAAATGCCAGCTAGATAAAGCAAAGCATACAGCTATTATGTTCCTATCAGGGCAAGTGAAGGGAACTTTAAACAAGCTGCAGGTTTCCTGTCTTTGTCAAGGCTACTAGTGAGATAGTGGCCCTCAGGTAATGAGATGAATCAGAATATGGTTTTAAAAATGGGTAATGGACTGTAACCTTTAACTTCAATTCAATTTCTTTCTTTATTATGCACCTATGACAGGAAAAATGGATGGTAGCGCAGTCTCTCCAGGGCAGATGGAATGCCAGTCACAAAAAAGAAAAATTTAGACTGCTATTTAACTTCACACTGAGGTAACTGTAGAATAAAACATAGGGAAACAAAAATTTAAAATACTTTACTAATTCAAATTTACCTTAATTAATTACATCAAAATAAAAATATTATCCAAACTTGGCTCTGCTCAAAATATACAAAATGAACAATACAAACAATCAAATTTACATTACGTTAAAGTGCAAATAAAAATATGGTGCAGGGAATACTGTGAGCCAGTTTGCATAAACATGCTACCACACCGAGGTAGGTTTCCCACAGTAGGTGAGGTTTCCATACCTGGATACAGTAGTACAAATGTGGGCACCAGAAATTTATACAGTTGAAGCACCTTCTTTTCCTTAAAATCAAAGGTACGCTTGATTATTCCGAGGGTTTGGTTAGCTTTTCTGACTGCTGCTCCTACCTATTGTGCAACTTTTAGCAGGTGGTAGATTTTAATTCCCAGGTATTTTTTTCATTAATCTCCTGTAATGTAATGACATTGATTTAGTAGTTGTGGTTGATTTGCACAATATGTACATATTGTGCATCCTGTGTAAAGAATTTACTCAGTTTCTGTGATCGAGCCACAGAGATTTTACAGGAAAGAGATGGTTGGGTTGACTGCATCTATCTGGACCTAAAAAAGGCTTTCAACAGAGTTCCACATAAAGGTTGTTCTCGAAACTGGAACATATTGGAGGAGTGACAGGTAAGCTGCCCCGGGGTTCCAGGAGGGGTGTGCTGTAGCTGCCCCGGGGTGCCAGGAGGGGTGTGCTGTAGCTGCCCCGGGGTTCCAGGAGGGGTGTATTGTAGCTGCCCCGGGGTTCCAAGAGGGGTGTGCTGTAGCTGCCCCGGGGTGCCAGGAGGGGTGTGCTGTAGCTGCCCCGGGGTTCCAGGAGGGGTGTATTGTAGCTGCCCCGGGGTTCCAGGAGGGGTGTGCTGTAGCTGTCCCGGGATGCCAGGAGGGGTGTGCTGTAGCTGCCCCGGGGTTCCAGGAGGGGTGTAATGTAGTTGCCCCGGGGTTCCAGGAGGGGTGTGCTGTAGCTGCCCCGGGGTTCCAGGAGGGGTGTATTGTAGCTGCCCCAGGGTTCCAGGAGGGGTTTGCTGTAGCTGCCCCGGGGTGCCAGGAGGGGTGTGCTGTAGGTGCCCCAGGGATCCAGGAGGGGTGTAATGTAGCTGCCCCGGGGTTCCAGGAGGGGTGTGCTGTAGCTCCCCCGGGGTTCCAGGAGGGGTGTGCTGTAGCTGCCCCGGGGTTCTAGGAGGGGTGTGCTGTAGCTGCCCCGGGGTTCCAGGAGGGGTGTGCTGTAGCTGCCCCGGGGTTCCAGGAGGGGTGTGCTGTAGCTGCCCCGGGGTGCCAGGAGGGGTGTGCTGTAGCTGCCCCGGGGTTCCAGGAGGGGTGTATTGTAGCTGCCCCGGGGTTCCAGGAGGGGTGTGCTGTAGCTGTCCCGGGATGCCAGGAGGGGTGTGCTGTAGCTGCCCCGGGGTTCCAGGAGGGGTGTAATGTAGTTGCCCCGGGGTTCCAGGAGGGGTGTGCTGTAGCTGCCCCGGGGTTCCAGGAGGGGTGTATTGTAGCTGCCCCAGGGTTCCAGGAGGGGTGTGCTGTAGCTGCCCCGGGGTGCCAGGAGGGGTGTGCTGTAGGTGCCCCAGGGATCCAGGAGGGGTGTAATGTAGCTGCCCCGGGGTTCCAGGAGGGGTGTGCTGTAGCTCCCCGGGGTTCCAGGAGGGGTGTGCTGTAGCTGCCCCGGGGTTCTAGGAGGGGTGTGCTGTAGCTGCCCCGGGGTTCTAGGAGGGGTGTGCTGTAGCTGCCCCGGGGTTCCAGGAGGGGTGTGCTGTAGCTGCCCCGGGGTTCCAGGAGGGGTGTGCTGTAGCTGCCCCGGGGTTCCAGGAGGGGTGTGCTGTAGCTGCCCCGGGGTTCCAGGAGGGGTGTATTGTAGCTGCCCCGGGGTGCCAGGAGGGGTGTGCTGTAGCTGCCCCGGGGTGCCAGGACTGGTGTGCTGTAGCTGCCCCGGGGTGCCAGGGGGGGTGTGCTGTAGCTGCCCCGGGGTGCCAGGACTGGTGTGCTGTAGCTGCCCCGGGGTTCCAGGAGGGGTGTGCTGTAGCTGCCCCGGGGTGCCAGGAGGGGTGTGCTGTAGCTGCCCCGGGGTGCCAGGACTGGTGTGCTGTAGCTGCCCCGGGGTGCCAGGAGGGGTGTGCTGTAGCTGCCCCGGGGTGCCAGGACTGGTGTGCTGTAGCTGCCCCGGGGTTCCAGGAGGGGTGTGCTGTAGCTGCCCCGGGGTGCCAGGAGGGGTGTGCTGTAGCTGCCCCGGGGTGCCAGGACTGGTGTGCTGTAGCTGCCCCGGGGTGCCAGGAGGGGTGTGCTGTAGTTGCCCCGGGGTGCCAGGACTGGTGTGCTGTAGCTGCCCCGGGGTGCCAGGGGGGGTGTGCTGTAGCTGCCCCGGGGTGCCAGGACTGGTGTGCTGTAGCTGCCCCGGGGTTCCAGGAGGGGTGTGCTGTAGCTGCCCCGGGGTGCCAGGAGGGGTGTGCTGTAGCTGCCCCGGGGTGCCAGGACTGGTGTGCTGTAGCTGCCCCGGGGTGCCAGGACTGGTGTGCTGTAGCTGCCCCGGGGTGCCAGGACTGGTGTGCTGTAGCTGCCCCGGGGTGCCAGGAGGGGTGTGCTGTAGCTGCCCCGGGGTGCCAGGACTGGTGTGCTGTAGCTGCCCCGGACCCCCCACCCACAACAACACCAGCCGCCACATGCCATAACAACGCCAGTCAGTATTACATTCATTTATTGTCTTATTTATATACAAGAAGGTATAATGGGTGGTCAGAGTACATCACATTGGTCTACTTACATGCTTGCAAAACTACTAACACACATAGCGTTTCCCTCTATCAAAGAAAAGTTAGAGTAATTAAAATATACAGTGCAGAGAGAAGACACTGTGAGAAGACAGTGTTGCAGAATTTTATTTCAAAGTAATAACTACAATAAAAATGTATAGTAGTGATTATATTGATTATACTGGTGAAGTTGCATGTCTAGAGTACTGAGTATAGGTGAGTGGGTAGCATAAGCCAGTGTGAGTTTGAAGCACAAAGTAGGAAACTTAGGGAATGGAATTGGGTACTTTTTAATTTTACTTTTGAATAAAGCATCAATAGGAAAGTTTTTTAATTCATTAGGGAGTGAGTCCTTTTATTTGCTTGGAGTGTTTGCACAGATTTAGTCTGACTCAAGGTATATCAAATATTTTTATTTTTTTTATTATATATGCAAGAGTTGTTACATTCTTGTACAGCCACTAACACGCGTAGCATTTCAGGCAAGTCCTTAATCCTATGTTCCCCAGAATACTACCCCATCAAAAATCGTTTAACAACCAAGTACCCATTTTACTCTTGCGTTAAACAGAGGCTACAGTTAAGGATTTGCACCCAGTAAATCCTCCCCGGCCAGGATACGAACCCAGGACAAAGTGCTCGTGGAACGTCAGGCGAGTGTCTTACCATTACGCCACAGGAACTGCTTAAGGCGATATCTTACCACTATACCATGGGGATAAGGGAACTCAAGGAGGTTTTCACACTAGTGAGAATGAGGGGTCAGAGGATTTTGCTTTAGTAAGTATGATGGAACAGAGTAGGGTCACACACTGATTATAGGGTCAGAGGAGAGTTGCTTATTATAGTACAGTAAGTATGAAGGGCCTTGCACTGGTAAGGGAGACTGGAAGTGAGGCTACTATCACTGATTCACCCTGGTAAATATCATATTTGTTATTAAAGCTGAGCATAGGTATAGAGGAATATAACATGGTGCTAATGTTGAGTACAGTATAAGTGTAGTGGAATATTACATGGTGTTAATGCTAGGTATAGGTGAAGAGCAATGTTGTGTTTGTGCTTAGGTGTAATAATCTTGACCAAGCTTGTTTTTAGTTTAGTTCATTTATTATGCACTCTATACCCATCTTGTGGGCGGTAGTGGAAAGGGTTACAGAGGCACATAATGGGCTCAGGGACTGAACCCCACAATTCATTTGGCTAAGCAAGTTACAATCTTGATGAGCTAGTTACAAAATTCAATGTAAGTCGTCACATCAACAATGGGTTCGAGATCGACCTCAAGTACAGGTTCTAAATTAAGCAACTGACATATGTGGAGCAACCCGTCCTCTTAAAAATAACGTCACTTTTGGCTGGTATGAGCACTATGGCCAAATTTGGACGTAATTTGAAATGAAATCAACTCACAAAAGTGACGTACTGTTCCGTTTTCTGTTTGAGTCATCCGGCCGACTCTGTAAGGTTAGAATAGATGACTTTCAATTCACGTTTTTCATAACGTTTTAAAACTTTATGAGAATTTCCTGCCCACCTAACCTATCAGAGGACCCTTAACTTACTGTTGTTGAAAAAAGAAATCACAAATTTATTTTCATTTTTTTTTTCATTTTCAAATTACGTCCAAATTCGGCCATACGGGCAAACGGCCAAAAGCGACGTTCTTTTTAAGAGGACAGGTTGTGTGGAGAGCTAGTGTCAAAATTTATATGTTTGTCCTGCACACCGCCCCCATCCAGTGGGCAGCGGTGGATAGGTTACAATCACTCAGTTACTACCTACAGTTAGCAAACTGGGAATATTTGGCTAAAATTTCTGGTAGCAGATCATTTTGAATGAAATATTTACACATCACTGGAACATTGGTTATAGAATTGTCTCTAAATTCACGTATCTTTTCGCACTCCATCACATAGTGACGGAGTGCTTGGCGGACTTTGGCAACCTAATTACATATTTCCAATGTTAAAGGTGCATTTAAGTATTGTGAGTTATATATGTTAATACTGAGTATGAACATTTACAATATATCATATTTTTAATAAAGTAATAAAAAATATTATTATTAATTTTAAGATTGATTTTAAAAATGTCATTAACATGAGTAATAAAAGTATAGGATGAAAATTCACACTTAGGTATTTGTGAATTTTATGTAAAGATTTATGCCAAAATGACTAGTTTCATCCTAACCTCATACTCAGACCTTGACAAAGCATGCAAAAGACTTGGTGTGAATCTTTACATAAAATTCACAAATATATACATAAGTGTGGGTTTTTATCCTGTGTTAATGTTAATGTTACTCAGCTTTGAACATTCATGTTGGCTAGAAATAATTCCTGGGCCACTACTGAGCAGAAGTTGCTTGTATTACGATGCATACATGTTGAATTGGACAGCAGAAGGTTCACAATGGAAAAGCCATGGTCATACCCCACAACTAGAGCCTAAAACAGGTGAATGCATCTCAGGAGAGCAAACCAAAGCTACATTACCAAGACACTAAGGTAAACAACCAGCCAAGAGGATATTGAGCAAGTGAAAGTTGACATCAATGACATATATAAAGTCTATCTTATAGTTCAGGGATCTTGTGAAGGTACATTGGATAAAATATTCCCCCGGGGAATGGGAAAATACATTGAGAAATGAACCAACTACTGTACTACAAAAATTACACTGCTGTACATTAGTGTCCCCCTTATGAAAAGCTCCACAATAACATACATCATTTATATTTTTTAGCCTTAAATAATTAGACTGGCATTTATTATCTCCTGGTGAAGTTTTGAAAGAAGTATACTGTAACTGTATTTGGAGCAGTATAATAAATTCACATATGCTGTTTACTTTATAACCAGTGAAACATTTGAGAAGTCTTAAGTGCATTTATTTATTGTAATTAATTGTGAGACTCCTGCATATTTTTAATTTATGAATAAATTTTTACTAGTACAGTATTGCAAACTTGAGAAGTTTGAAAATAGCCCATCGTTAAATTTTTTTATTTTAAAATAGCCTAAAAGTAAATAAATATGGTAATTTTGGGAATGGCAACTGTAAAAGCAAATTGAATTCTTTTATGGCACTTTATCAGAATTGTCATGTGCAGCACATATTAAATACTGTACAATAATATATTAAATTAGTATGAAAGAGCTAAAGTTGGCTATCATTACACACTGTGGCAATAAGTATTTGCAAAAACTGGGACCTTAAAATTGTGTAAATAAAAAAATTCATCCCAATCCCTGGCATATAATTGTTGCAAGTATATTATGTCAGTAATATACTTGCTCCATATTCTCATTTGCTTATGTGCAGATAATGAGATAGCTCTGTTAATTCTACTTAGTCCACTAATTATGATTAATACCTCTTCTCAAACCTGCTAGAGGATGGTCAGGGTGAGGTGTAGGACCGGTAATATAAGTAGTCGATGGTGAATCATCATGGGCCACCTCTTGGGTGGCTTAATCTTTAACAATCAGTCATCATGGTTATGGGCTATTCATGCATGTACCACCTCTTGGGTGGCTTAATCTTTATCAATCAATCAATCATCATCATTACGGGCTATTCATGCCTGTATCACCTCTTGGGTGGCTTAATATTCATCAATCATCAGTCTAGCTCCAACAGTGGTTCAGTATAGACGCTTGAGAGATATCGCACATCTTCGACATTCACCAACAACAATGTAACACTCGATGTGTCTTCACAAGAAGCTTCAGCTTAAACACAGAGCAGACGGCCAGATTCCGGCCGCATTGAGCGATGTAACATATGATTACGTGTACATATTTGGTTGATTAGACACAGAGAGATTAGTATTTTTTTATATTTATTTAGTATAGTATTGGTTCCAGCAGTCAGTTTGGTGGCAATGTAATGAAGTGTTGTAGAAGTTGAGACGAAGCCTAGAGCAGGGCAGAGAGCTGAGTGAGGTTGGGGATAGAGAGCTCGGATGTGGGGTGAGTGTGTAGTGCGTGGCGTTCTGAGTGCGGGGTGGAGTCAAAGAGCTTGGTGCGGGATGAGAGCATGGAAGATCTATAAGGTTGGAGTGTGGCTGTTTGCTCTGTGTCGAAGCTAAAGCGGCTTGTGAGGGTAGGAACTGGACACGTCGAGTGCTACATTGTTGTTGGTGAATATGGAAGATGTGTGGTACTGTATCTCTGAAGCATCTACTGAACCATTGTTGGAGCTAGACTCCTGATTATTGATAAAGATTAAGCCACCCTAAAGGTGGCACGGGATATGAATAGGCCGTAAGTGGAGGCTCTTTCAAGCCATTAACAGCTGATACTAAAGATCTGTGGACAGATGTGGGTCTTCATGATGGATTTCAGCCTCAAAGGGTCCTGATGATTCGCTATCGACTGCTTATATTTCCGGTCCACACCTCACCTGACCATCCTCTAGCAGGTTTGGGAAGAGGTATTAATTGTAATTAGTGAACTAAGTAGAATTAATAGTCATCTCATTATCTGCACAGAAGCTAATATAGCTAATATACTTGCTACATTATATTTGTTTATTAATATTAGTATTTTCTTATGTGCCTATGAAAATTTTGGTTCTCTGATCTGGCAATTTGATAAAGCATTATTGGAGTAGAGTGCTGAAATGATGATAAATTATGAACCTCTTAATATTCCTAGTATAAAAAGGAATATATGTGGTTGGCAGTTGGAGGAGCGAAACAGCATGGAATGGTTGTGGCGGAGCTGCTGCAGCTGCTGGAGGAATGAAGTGCAGGAGGACGAAGAGGAAATCTGCAGTACTACCGCTTCAGAACTAAGCATTGGTTATAATCCCAGTTTTGAGTATCACTGCTAAATCCATTGGCTTGGGGTTGGGTTTGCAGTCAAGTGCTTGAATAAGAAAGACAGTGGGTGTGCTTGGGTTGTTCACCTATGTTTTCTGTCCTCTGAATACTGTATATCACTATTCAATTACACTGCAACTGGTATCCAAATGTTTGCATATGAATGAATAGGACACCAGAAAGGTGGGCAAACCAAAGAATATGAACAGCAAGGTGAACAAAGCATAGAAAATGAGATAGCAATTACCCGAGATAAATGAATCACCCAGTTGTGAAGTAATTCAAATTGTTAGTTCAACCTGCATACCATTAGGGAAATGCACACTTTTCTCTTCAATCCCCTAGCCTTGAGCCTCTTAAATCATTTTGCCTGGCATGAACATCTATGATGATCTGTGTTATACTTCTCTTTCCACCCCAGTTCTGTGTTATACTTCTCTTTCCACCCCAGTTCTGTGTTATACTTCTCTTTCCACCCCAGTTCTGTGTTATACTTCTCTTTCCACCCCAGTTCTGTGTTATACTTCTCTTTCCACCCCAGTTCTGTGTTATACTTCTCTTTCCACCCCAGTTCTGTGTTATACTTCTCTTTCCACCCCAGTTCTGTGTTATACTTCTCTTTCCACCCCAGTTCTGTGTTATACTTCTCTTTCCACCCCAGTTCTGTGTTATACTTCTCTTTCCACCCCAGTTCTGTGTTATACTTCTCTTTCCACCCCAGTTCTGTGTTATACTTCTCTTTCCACCCCAGTTCTGTGTTATACTTCTCTTTCCACCCCAGTTCTGTGTTATACTTCTCTTTCCACCCCAGTTCTGTGTTATACTTCTCTTTCCACCCCAGTTCTGTGTTATACTTCTCTTTCCACCCCAGTTCTGTGTTATACTTCTCTTTCCACCCCAGTTCTGTGTTATACTTCTCTTTCCACCCCAGTTCTGTGTTATACTTCTCTTTCCACCCCAGTTATGTGTTATACTTCTCTTTCCACCCCAGTTATGTGTTATACTTCTCTTTCCACCCCAGTTATGTGTTATACTTCTCTTTCCACCCCAGTTCTGTGTTATACTTCTCTTTCCACCCCAGTTCTGTGTTATACTTCTCTTTCCACCCCAGTTCTGTGTTATACTTCTCTTTCCACCCCAGTTATGTGTTATACTTCTCTTTCCACCCAGTTATGTGTTATACTTCTCTTTCCACCCCAGTTCTGTGTTATACTTCTCTTTCCACCCCAGTTATGTGTTATACTTCTCTTTCCACCCCAGTTCTGTATTATTCTTTTTTTCCCACACCATCACTCTTTCGAGTCCCATTTTTTTTTTTTTTTTTTTTAGATAAGAGTTGGCTATCTTGTGGCTGTTAGTTAGGGGTTTGAGTATTATTTTGCCATATAATGAGCAAGCAAACCCTCTGTGCTACCCTTGTTCACAAAGCCTTACAGAGAAGTCAAAAGATCCATGCACTGCTAAGCATGAGGCACCTTCCACTGGAAGCTGGCCTCTCAGAGACAACTACCCAAACTAACCAGAGAAAGGAACTCTGGTTGGGCAGGGGCGACACTAGCAAACACTTAGTTAATCAGAATCCGCTTAAGACATGAAGCATAAATTCACATAGATTGTGAAGCAAACACTAAAACAAAATAGCCCCATGTAGAACAAAAAGTGTCCAGGATGCCCAATACTTAGTTGAAAAAACTTGGACTCAAATAGTGCGGAGGAAGGAAAAGTAGCGTAACAGAGAACGTCATAGATATGCATGCCAGGCAAAATTACTGAGGTTCAAGGCTAGGGGATTGAGGAAGAAGGTCCACATTTCCCTTGTGGTATGTAGGTGGAACTAATGAGAGAACTACTTTAAGACCAGGTGATTTGTTCGTCTTGAGGCTTCAATGTCAAATTCTCTATTCTGTACCTTGCTGTTTGTATGTTTTGGTTTGCCCATCTTTATAGTGGCCTTTTCTTGCAGGGTTGCCAGATTTGAATTGCCAAAAGTCGCGAGCTGAAGAACTAAATGTCAAACTTTACAATAAAAGTAGCCAAATATTTTTTTTCCGATTGATTCACTTTTCAGAATAAGCCGCCCAGCTTATTTTAACTGTCGCCGAAAAAGTAGTAAGTAGCGACATACATAGCTGGCTTTTTAATTGAATACAATTATCCTAATTGGTAACCCAATTGGGCCTGGCATCCCTGTTTTCTTAGTTAATGTGTTCTAGAATCCTTTGCTCCTTGTTCCTCCTTTTTAGAAGGGACAGGTTTTGGCCTTTGGTCCCCGTATGCTTACAATGACTCGCAAGGGCTGGGCATGAAATGAATTGGGTAGAGCTTACTAGGTAGCATGCACCAAGGTATCACCTTAGGAGCCCTCCTAGAGGAAAAGGTGTACAGTATTGATAAATGAACATGTGTGACAACACTGAATATATAAATGTTTATAAACAGTCTTCATTTATTTTTCAACATAAAAAATGGAAATATGTACACATGACTGGTGTATATACAGTAGCTGTGAAAATTAAATTAACTTAAATACTTTTCCATTAAGTCATTTGAAAAGCAAAGACAAAATACACAGGCATAGCATTTAATCTCTTGAGTGATGGGGTGGCTAGCTGAGGTGATGTTTGGTTGATTCTCTGATAAGCTGATAAGCTCTGTTCACACTGTGCTTATGTATTTCAAGAGGTTTGTCATGAAAGAACAAATAGAATTAAAAATTTTGAACATGTTTGCACAACACACAGATATGCATAAAATTCAGTCACCAGACCACATAAAGGCTCTGGCATGCAGTTGACTCTAGCGTCATTTTGTTAACAACATTGTAATAACTGTTAATAACTAGTAACTAGTTTAGTAACTAAACAAAGTTCAAATAATAAGCTCACTAAATAACTGAGATTTTAGGGTGAGGCTTCAGGGGAGCTGGTGTAGGATTACAGCCCATAGCTTGCAGTTTCCTTATGAACATCAAAGACTTTTCTAATGAACCCTAGACTTCGTTAAGCTGTAGATCACATCTCTGCTTGTTCACAAGGATTCAAAATTTATATTTACAAAGAACCTTTGATTTTTTTGTTAGATTTATTGACTAAGCAGACTTCCAAAACTCATTCTCAGCATGTGTAAGCATGTGAGGGTTCACATGCTTACACACTGCCTACAAATGTATATACAGTACATACAATATAGTACTGTATACAGTGTATACAGTTTGGTATACAGTATATACTATATTGTATACAGTATATACTATATTGTATACAGTATACAAACATATTTGGGCCCTCTCTAAATGACAGCTTTGGACAAACGAATTTGGTCTACAGTATATAGCATTTTTGTCTTATTATATCATCGGGACATAAGTGATACAAAAATATTATTTATAAAAGCTATAACATAGCTTTTTTAAATGACATGTCTATAAAATAATTTTTCCTTTCCTGGAGTGTTACTCATAAAAATGGATATTAAACGATCTGAATATTTTTCACCCATATTGACTATGATCACTTCTTCCACCATATTAAGTTGGAAAATTTAATAGGATTGAGACCTGGCAGTTGCATAGCTAGTAGGATCATGTTGTAATCAGCATTAAGATAATGTATTTGGTTTTCATGTGGGGTAAAAATGTTTCCATTTCTATTTGCAGATGTTAACTCGCAGCAAAACTCTGAGACAATGGGACAGACAGTAAGCCGAATAGCTGATTTACTGAGGCCAAATCGTTCAGCAGATGGAGCATCATCAGATGTTGACGACTATGTTGACACTGCACATAAAGACACTGACACCACACAGGATGACTCTTCTTCGCCCCTCATCCCTGTAACTAGTTCTCCCAAATATCCTCTTGCAACCCCTCGTAGCCCACTTCAACGTGGCATCAGACGTCTCACCCCATCTGAAATTTCCCCGATAAGCCCTCCATCAAAACGTCTCAAGGGGGATTTTCAGTACTTGGATTTCCCTATTTTAAAGGATGAGGAAACTATCAACTTTATTTTAAAAAGCAAGGTGGGTACACGTACACGAAGGCAAAATGTATTCTCAAGCGTTAAGTTAATATTGTGTTACATAAAATAATTTAAATGCTGATCCTATGAAAAAAGGGTGATGGAGTGGAGTTGATAGTGATTAACATAATCAGATTGATTTTAAACATTAAAGTTAACACAGCAGACTTATTATAATGGCTTATGGGAAGTTGTAGAATTTTTAAGACAGTTTGGCATAATATTTAATACAAAATATGTTTCTGACTTCACCCAAATGTTCCAGTTCATCCTCCTGTTTAGACAGTACTTGTAAGTAGTAACAATGTGGACCATTGTACATATATTGATGTAATGGACAATTTGAAAGTAGCATTTGGTACTACTAAATTTTGAAAAACTTAAAAAAGGATTTGCATTTATGCTGCTAATAAAATCTAACCTATCCATTCTAGGCCTAACATAGTACACATATGTGCTATACTGTGCCTAGGAACGTTTAAAATTGGTTTTTAGATTTTCTCCCGGACTCTATAAAGTGAATAATATCAAATTGTACTATCTAATTGTCCATTATGTTAGTATCTGTACGATGGTCCACACAGTTACAAAAAAAGTACTATCTAAACAGGAGGATAAGTTAATGTTCATATTCCTTGATGTATAACTGTATACTGTACTGTAAATTATTATTTTACATTATTTGATTTATATAGAAGGAATGAGATCGAACAAAAAGACAAATGAGAAGGATATGTTACTAGATGTTGCTTGAATGCTTTTGATGGACACAAGACACCCTAATAGACTTGGAAAGGTTGTACAAACTTTGTTTTGGTAATTGATGTATGATGGAGACTTAAGAGTTTCTATATCTCCCTCACAGGTTATGTTCATCTTGAAGGGTGTGCCAGGATCTGGAAAGAGCTTCTTGGCAAAGATGATTAAGGAAGTGTATGAGGATGCTGTAATGTGCTCAGCTGATTTGTATTTTATGCAAGATGGAGAGTTAGTACCCTGCTCTTAACTGTTTTTATAAAATTATAGTTCAAAATGCAATGAATGCCATTGTTGGCTATTCTGGGAGTGTAATACAATATTGTTGCGTTTAAATATAAATAGATAACTGAAAAGTTATTCTGTTTAGCATTGGAAGTGGTGCAAGTTTTACTTATAAATTTCACTGGATTATATTACCTTACTTTCACTTTTCATTGCCTATTATGCACTTCAAAGTACAGTCCATGGCTACAGTCATTGGGTAAACTCTGGGTGACTTTCTAAATTAGTACTTTTTTCACAAATATATTTTTCAATAAGTAGTGACTCAGGGATGGAAAATGGCTAGTGCAATGACTGCTCTGATTAATGCAATGAATGCTCTGGTTAGAGAACGAAGTACAGTACGTACGAAGTACGAAATGTGAACAGACGCCTACATAAAAGATTAGTAGTGCTAACCTTTGTATGTGGATGTAAGACCGTACTGTGCTATTAACAAAAAAAAAAAATTAGTAGTAGAAATGGACAACCTAAAAAGCATGTATGGTGTTAGAAAATCAAAGTAAGATATGAAAATGTCATGGAAAGATGTGTACTGTAGTGCAAGAGGTGATAAATCAAGATTGAGGAGTGTGTACTGAAATGCTTTGGGTAAATTGAATGAATGGATAGTGGAGGACTGGTGATAAGTGTATGTGTGAATGAATTTGATAGGAGGATAGTATAATTGGGAAGAAGATGAGCAGACACAGTGAGGTTGTGTGAATGTGGGGATTGATTATGATCAGTTCATGGAATACAGTAAGAGATGAGGCTAGTTGGCAACAGTTTGTAAGGAAGAAATGCGTGGATTGATTATGATCAGTTCATGGAATACAGTAAGAGACGAGGCTAGTTGGCAACAGTTTGTAAGGAAGAAATGCGTGGATTGATTATGATCAGTTCATGGAATACAGTAAGAGACGAGGCTAGTTGGCAACAGTTTGTAAGGAAGAAATGCGTTTGTTAACACTGTGCCGTCTCGGTGAGGAGCACTGTACAGCTAGTCTTATGAAGCAGTGGGTGCTGCTGTGAATGAGATGCTGATTTGTGGTGGTGCCTGTTGCACTGTGTTGTGTGTATGATATGATAAATGGACAAGCTCTCAGTCTCCTCTTTTTTTTTTAATACCTGTAACCTTCAGTCACTATACTTAACCACTCTTTTGAGCTAGACAACTTGGTTGCTCCTTTAGGCAATGTCCAAGGACAGGGGGTACAACCAGGCTTTGTTGACATTTACTTCCCGACACGGCAAGGATGGTTTCAAGTGTCCCCGCTAGGTCAATCTGGGTAGACACAAGAGCCAACCTAAAATGACCCCAAAAAGTTTATTCATTACCACTCAGCCTCAATAGAGATTGCCAGCACTATTAATTTATAATTTGCCCAGCTGGCCACTAAACCTAAACATAAAAATTAACTGAAATCACCACCAGGTGTCTGCACCTACATACCAACATAGTAGAAGGCAGCTGCCACCTACACATTTATTCTGGCTCTTCCCCATGGCACATTCAGTTCAGTGCTTTGTGTTTATAGAATTGTTTTCATGTACAGTAGGCTTATGCTATTAAATGGATGCTTCCATAGGCATGGTTGCACAATTGTCTACATATTCATCAACCAGTGTCAGTTTTCTACTCTACTCGTCAATCTTAGCTTACTCAGGCTGATGTGCTAGTGCTTGGTACTGTATTCACATTTGATGCATTCGGTTGGCACATCATTGCAAGATTTGTTCTTCTTTCTGGTCTAGCTTCAGGCTACATTGATGGAAACAAGCCAATCGAAGGACTTCTAACAAACCTCTGAAAGCCCACCCTCTCCAACAAAGAATGGGTGGGTGAGGTGGGGGGGGGCAGAGTCTACAAGGTCCCAGGGTCCAAAATTAGGAGGAAGAAAAGGGTAGGGGGTATCAGGCATGGAGTGTTTGCCACCTCACTTGAGGCCAAGTAATGTTTGGTGGGAGTTGAGTGTTGAATAAATGAACTCTCTGAAGGTCATTCTGGGGTGGAGAATACAGTGTCTTCCCTTCCACATACTGATCTGTTAGGGACTTGAAAAGAACCTTGCTGTGTTGTCGAGTAAGTGCTGACAACCTGGCTGTACCTGGTCCTGTCTTTGGAAGGAGCTGGATATTATTAAAGGGACCAACAGGAAAAGCTGATTGCTATACTCAAAACCTACCCCTTAAAGTCATAAATGTGGGTAATGAGTATGATAAATACTTATATTTGCTTATAGTACAATACTGTATTTTTTTTTGGCTTAATCTTCTTATTTTACATAATATAGGTACAAGTTTGACAGAGACCAGCTCAAAGTGGCTCATGAATTTTGCCAGCAGATGGCAAGTGATGCTGCACAGGAGAACTGTCATGTCATTGTTATTGACAACACAAATGTCCGCAACTGGGAGATGAAGTTTTATCTTGACTTAGCAAAGGAATATTTATATATTCCTCTGGTATTGGAGCCTCAGACACCATGGTCCACAGATCCAGGTGAACTTGCTGCAAGAAACTTGCATGACATCCCAGAAAAAATTATTGCTCAGAAGGTAAGTAACAAAATTATAATGTTTGTTATTGTGGTGTAATAAGGCTGTAACAAGATGGATGGACATGGATGGATCATGTATTAATTAATGTACATAATTCATTTCACTGTCAGTATATAACAAGTATGGATTCATAAAGAAATATTCATTCTTTACTGAACCCATAGTAAAATCTCGCTGTAAAATAAATTGCAAAGGTTGTTGTCAGGCTGAGGTGAAGTGCCAGATCATAGTGCAGGGTGTTACGGCCCTCTCGGGTCGCAACCGGGTTCTTTCTCTGATGTTGTTAGAGGTAGGGTATCCGGCCCCAAGCTAGTAGTGGCTTTCAAGGGATGTGATCCGTAACGCAAGTAAATTAAAGGGGAAGGGAAATAAAGGCAAAAACTTAATAATATAATTATTACCATCACCATAAATAAAGGTTACACAAGGGGGGGGGGGTTAAACACTATTATGTACAACGTAGTCTTCTTCTGAAGACTCTGGACGTTCACGGTGCTCACGATGCTAAGCTCTTGGTCCTCTTGTGGCCTCACTATGAATCCTTCGATCCTCTTGAGTCTACCCTGGCCACAGGCCAGCCAAATTACAGTTCCACTGGGGGCACCGTCGTGGAGGCCATCAACCACAAGTCCAGCCGGTAGCTGGCAGGTTCCAATCAGCAACGCTGGTTAGGCCACTCCACGATCGATACTAAGGTCGCGAACCCTAGTCAGGAGCCTCGTGTGATCCCACAGAACACTCTCCTCGCCACAACACCCCAGTGGTTAAGCGTCTCCACCAGTCAGTCCCGGGTACGACAATCCCTCAACTGCCACGTCACAGGCAGGGTAACACCACAGTGTTCATCCGGGGAGGGACTCACAGCTGCTGCAGCAAACACTTGGAGACAAGACGGCTGCCTTGGGTAGACTCATCCAACTTCCATTACAGCAGTCCCAGGTCGACTCTGTAATCAGACACGTCATCAATAATAGAGACACACTAGGGCACCTTACTTACAGGCTTAGGCACAAACGCCCACCTATCCACTCCATAGATGGTGTTGCTGTCTAAGCTCTACCTCACCAGAGGTCAGCAGCGGCTGTGTTATGAGCTGATCAGGACGGGAAACTAGCCCTTGTGGCCAATATATCTCGTCCTCACTAGGTGGCGGCGTCCATTTGGAGGGGGTTTCAGGAGCTGACCCACAGATGGCATGGTCGTCACTGCTCCGGGCTCGGACGCTGGATTCGGGTCCGTAACACAGGGATATGGTCTAGGATGTACGATTGCTGAAAGGGGGAATTGTGCATTGGTAGTTGAGACTAGGATCATTCATGGAATGAAAGTGGCTGGTAAAATTAAAGTCATGGTTTGGAAAAACAAGATAGCATTAGATAGAGCCAGAGGTCTGCAAGATGTGGTTCTTGGAATATCATCACTACCTCTTCCCTCATTATATTTTGGCTTTCGCAAATGTTACAGCATGACTGATCTCTTAATTGACTTTGAGGTGTCCATTTGGTTGCCATTCTTTTTTGACTTGGAAAATAGGCTAATGACACTCAAGTCTCGTATTGCCATCATGGTTTTGGAGTCACTTAACCTTTTGCATCATGTAGTTGTCAAAATCCATTACTGGTTGTTTATCTCTAGCAGACTTAAAACAGTTGAATTCTGCTGGGCTCCCAGCCATATTGATGTTACCTTAAATGTGTGGACACTGCCAATAAGGAGGCCATTCATACTTGTCCTATTTCTCAAAAAAAGGAATTTCTTATTCAGATTTCTACTTGGTCATTGGTCAGATACTACAAGTAACAAATTGTGCATTCTGTAAGATGAGCTATCCCATGGGCCTTCCTCCTACCATTCTAATAGATTGGGAAATGGCCTTGGCTAGCGTATGTATCGACCACACATCCTTAACTTGCGGGCACTTAACAGAACACCGCCCTGCTCATTATTGTTAGAACTGCATTATCCCATTTACCATTGTGTTAGTCCTTGTTAAATGTCACGATTTTCAGGACAATCACCAGTGTCTTTTCTAATGTCCCTCAGGGTCATTTGTCTCGATAGAATCCTTGGAGAAACCATACCTTTGATATTATTTGCCTTATGTTCCTTTGTTCTCATATTGGCATCTTGAGTGATACTGAATATCCAGCGACATAGATGGTGCTACAGGTATATAATCTTCCCGGCTTGGTGCCTTCTTTTGATAAATAAGATTTCATTAGTAATTTTCAAATTAATTAAGTTTACAGTAGTAGTAAAAAAAAATATGCAGGCATACAGAAATTGTAAGAAATTTAAAAACGGTAGTAAACAGTAGAGGACTTTACTGGTATTTATTTTTGCGTACCGGTAGTTATTGGCCAATCAGGGAAAGAGAGTGGGAGCAAGGGAACAGTACATGTAGAACATGTACTACAGTACATGTTCTGTTATACATGTACTGTATATTAAAAGTGCAAATGATTGTATAAAATTTCTTCTAAAGGTTGTCATCTGATAGTGCAGTGAGAGTTAGGTTTCTGATATGTACTCATGAAATGCTTTGAGATTTTAAATGAAGAAAATTTACGTTTTGAAGTGTAATTCCTGTTCATTTAATTTTTCATTTTTTTCTGAAACATTATTTTGGGAGTTGGAAACAAAAATATCCTAGACCGGTATTATAGCAAAAACTTTAGTTCTATCCACTGAAGTGGATAGAACAAAGCTCTCAAATGTACTGAGTCAGGATAAGCTGCAATTTGAATAATTAACATAATAATAATCTTAGTTATATTTTCACATCAGGTTCATGCCTACCAGCCAGTTCAGCCACTATACTATGGATGGTTTATGAATGAAGTGGACTCGAAGAGGATATGTTCAATAGGACAGGAGTGGTTGCAACTAGCCCTCAAGGTTGATGACTTTTTTGAAGACTTCTCGCAGAACACACAACTACTCTCCAGTGAAGGTACAGAATAGTGTAGTGGTTTGCCTCTAGTGATCATTATGATGATTTGGGAGCTGCATCTACATGTGTTATGTATAAGTTTCATTACCTTCAAAAACTTTTGTATTGAAACTGGTAAGAGCAGGATATCAATTAAAGATTAACTACTTCGTAGACAAGTTTGTTGGGCCATACCAGGATTCATTGTTGGATATCAAAGATTAATAGTTGCTGGATACAACTCTAATGACGATGAATAATAACTGTCAGATATAACTGTAATAATGAACAAGTCTAGTTGGATGTGGGGTAACACAGCACATAATTAAACAGCAAATACTTGATACGTCATTGAATGTTGTAGTGACAGAGGTACAATATGTACTGACAAAGCACATAAAGCACTGATTAAATAATTTTCGTAACCCTTAGACAGCAGCTATGGATAAATGATCATTATACAATTATTAATTTGTATGCAAAATATAAAAACAAAAAAATAAAGTAAATATTTATCATTTCACTGGGTGAAGGTGCTCTGCAAGGCTGCGTCTGGCACTTGTCAACGCCTGGTGCTTGACTACGCTGACACTTCTTGTTTTATCCTCGGATGTTTCACTGGTGGTTTTATCACATGTTTTTCTTTATTTACATCGACAGAGAGCTACTATGCCCATATTTGCATCATAAATGTAAAACTCGGACATTGTTTAAATTATCGTATGATTATTCGTGACGATAACCACATTTGTACTATGAAATGGTGATAGGATTTTTTTTGTGGGTCAATGTAAACCCCACTATATCCACATATACCTTTTATATCCATATTTGCATCATACATGTAAAACCCAGACAGTAATTGTTTAAATTTTCATATGATGATAACTGCATTACCCTCTGAGTCAACAATTGACGATGTTTGGAGCCAATCGGTTTTATTTTCTTGCTTTAATCAACAAAGTATCTTCCATTAAAATGTTGACAAAATATCACCAAATTACAGCTTAGTTTATAGCCAAGATAAAAAATGCAGAGTGGCACAGGGAGGAATCGTGCTACTGTACTTGGTATTATATAGTAAGCTGTTAGGTTATGAATATCAACTTGTGTTGACTGTTGTAAAGATGTAATTTTATATCTACTTTTTCAGAAATCCTCCAATACTTCTCTCGGGATTCTTTTGTTGATGGAGGCAATATACTTCACTGTACATCCAAATTTACTGGGCGGGGTAAACCGCCAGGGGCACTGGAATATATAAACAGTTCACATGTTAGAAGTGCCATGGGCAGGTGTTTTCAGCTCCGCATTATTGGCTTTGTTATTACACCAAGAACATTAGGCGCAAGGCTAAGATTGACAGAAGAACAGTTAGAACTGTGGGGTAATATTGATGATGAAGAGCCTCCTGCAAATATAGCAGAGCCCATGCAACAAAGAAAATATGATACAGGGAGTGACAATCATAACTGGACAGGCCAGGATGACACGAGTGAGAGTTTTGAAAATAAATTCAGCAATGGTGGTTGTGAGCCAACTTTTAAAGTGGTAGAATCTTACTTCAAGAACGACAGATTTCACCCAACAGTTGGTAAAGGAAGTCGAGCACATTTAACTATTGCTTGTGCTCCTGGGATTAGACCAGTAAACACAGGATTTGATTTAATAAATGTTGTAAAATGTGAACAGAGGGCACTTGCTAAAGAAGGTTTAGATGGAGTTCAATTGTATGATCAGAAAGTGGAAACTTATACTATTCCTGGAGGTGTATTAAGAACATATGGTGAAGGAACATGGGTTATATACCCAGACAAGGAAGTTACAGTGTGTACTATGTTTTCAGCATGTTACTAAAAAGAGCTTTTGTTGTTGCACCTGCATGGTTCAAAATGATGTCAAGATTTTTATATGATGACAAATTCTTGCTAGGACAATTTTTTACTTTGAGCTGTGTTCCTTCTTATGTCAATACATTACAGGTATATAAAGAACCGCATAGCAACCACATATCACACTGGATTTGCAAAGTAAGTTTTCTTTGCATTTTGTACTTTTTAAATCTATTGTTGCAAGCCTTTAATAGATCAGTATGTTAAATTTTTGTACCATCCACGCTAGTCATTATTAACATCACTACCACACTGTTGTTTCTCACTGTTATTGATCAAGAGGCAGTTATTTCTTAATTTTAAATTTTTAAGTTGTTGGTATTATAATCACATAATTTTATAAATTTGTAATCGATATTGCTAAACATTGTACCTGTAGTGTTTTAAATAACTAGACGAGGTACCTATCAGTGCCCAGGTTTCCTTTCCTCTTTCCCATATTCCCTTTCTGTTCTCCTGTTTCCCCACCTCATCTTTCCAACTAGCTCCAAGAACCTGGCCTTCAACCCCTCCCCCCCCCCCACACACACACACAGCCAATCTATATCTATAAAGTATTATTAATCAGATCTGCAAGCAGTCAGATGCTTGACCCATGGGACATGAGAAGGACCCTTTTGAAATCATTTAGTTCACACGGTGCCACATTACACTACAGTATTCTTTCCATACATCAGTGTTTTAATGTACAATATTTGTATTATTCCTTTTCTTCTGACTGAAACCAAATAATGTGCTGTGCTGAAGGTACCTGAAAATGGTTACTAGTCACGGGTTTTTATGTATTTACTTATTTCAACATCAAACTTTTTAATAATTGTTTAAAGTGTAAACATGGGAATTGTATGGAAAATTTTCATATTTTGCAGAGGAAAATACATTGGTGTGGGCCCATGCACCTGTAGGCCCATTGATAACTGTCTTTAGTGGTCACACCACAATTACATTTTAGTTATCTTATAGAATAAAAATCTTTGTTTTACTTGTGAAACAAATAGTTTATGTATATTCAGTGAAATTTGGCTGGGTGTGTTTATTTAATAATAAACATAACTTGAATGTGGAAGTATAAATGGTTCAAAATACACACACACTTGGCAGGTCTTTACAAGTGTACACACACACACTTCAAAATTAATTAATATCTCATTTTTAAATAATGAAATAGCAATACATGTACAGCGACACCTCAGCTTACGAAATACCCCTATTTATGAACTTTTCGGGTTACGAGCCCAATTTCTTCGTAAAATCTGAATCGGGTTAGGAGCTTTTCCTTGGGAAACAAAGTTTGTTGATACCCGTATGGCCGACCTAGCACGTGGTGGCACGGCGATCGCGCCTCAGTTTACCAGTGCCTCCCACTTAGTGACAATCGTGCCTGAATTCTTTGTAAATAATTAGTTTTTTCGGATTTTGGGGTATTTGAACATATAAGTTATTATATATCTTACCATGGGTCCCAAGAAAGCCAGTGGTAAGGTTCAAGCCAAGAAAACACATGTGAGAATGACCATAGAGAAAAACAAGAGATCATGCATAAACATGAAAATGGTATGAGGGGTTGTTGATGTAGAGTAGAGGATGTCCCTTCCTCATTTATTTAGAAAATGTGTGCAGTATGGGAAGAATTGCAAAGTTTTGCTGCAAAGTGTCATCCAAATTAAGCTGTAGTAGGCCGTTGTGTTAACCTTTTTAATGACAATGTGATGTCTAACTTCAGACAAATGTTACAGTGTAGTGAAAAACAAGTGTCACTAGACAGGCTTTTAGTGAGAAAAACAAGCAGTGAGCCACAAGCAGGTCCTAGTGGTATGCAGGCAAAACATGCCAAAGAGTGTATCCCAGAGAAATCATAATAGAAGGGAACTTCCCTTCCAAACAGTAACATCTCTCCTCCTCACAGTCTTTCATGTGCCAACAGGAGTCACCAGTAAAGTCAAGTAATAACTTGTACTGTACATACTTTAGTACTGAAGATTTAGGTGAATTAGGTATAAAATTTACTTTGAAGTTAATTTTTTGGGGTCTGGAACGGATTGATTCAATTTACATTATTTCTCATGGGGAAATTCGCTTCAGTTTACAAATATTCGGCTTACGAGCCATGTCTGGGAACGAATTAAATTCGTAAGCTGAGGTACCATTGTACTGAACACTAATATTTATCTTATTTTAATATAAGAATTTAATGGAGAAATTTGTATGAACTCTGCTTGTGTGAGTGTTTTTTTTTTCTGCATTTCTTGAGCAGAACATGAGAACCTTCTGAATCTGTATCTAATCTAAGTTGTTTTTGACTACAGTTTGTAAATGACACAGAATGTACATGTTCATTTTATTTTGATACTAAAATCACTGAAGCACAATACATATTTAATATAACCGGAGCTGTTATATTGCAACCGATCTTTTTACAAGCTGGTTTTCACTGTACAACATAAACAATTAAAATGAGCAACAAGTTTTATCAAATCCTACAGGTAAACAAGATGAAGACCATGAAAACAATCTTGGAGGAAGTTCAGTAATAATCAAAGCTCAAGATTTGTACCAACACGAATAAGCTCGTGCTCCTAACAGTAGGTTTAAATCTTGGAATTATCTTACTTTTAGAAAACACAAAGCAAATGTATGAAATCCAATTTGTTTTATGGTGAAGCACACTAACCTTAATATGGCAAGGTATATAAACCATTTGAAACCAGTATGTTCTGGTCATGGCACATTTTCACTAGATTTCTGCTTATATAATTTTTACACACACTGCAAAAGTAATTATCAAAAGACTGTCAAGCCTGTAAGACTATTCCAAGCCGTGAATGGATACCTTTGATGTTGTTTGCCTTATGTGCTTTTGTTCTCGTGTTGACACCCTTAGTGATATTTAGCGCCTTTTGAATATCCCGTGCATTTGTCGGTGCCACATAGCCTCCCCGGTTTGGTGCCTACTTTTGATAACTACTTACTATTCCAGGCAGTCTGGCAAAAATTAATCTGAAATTCCTAAATATTCTAAATGCCAATATGACAGTAAAAAGACAAAATATGAATGGTGTTATAGGTATTAGTCACCAAGAACTTTATGAAGGGACTTGGTTCGAAGGAACATTGGGAAAGCATACTGAAAATTGGACATTCTATGTGCACAACTGTTGTGCAATGCAGTTTTGACAGGTGCTGGATGATTCCATTAAGTTAATTACATGTGCTCAATATGCTTTGTAGCCCAAGACATCTTGGCTTCCTGTTACTGTATTTAGAAGAAGGCCCCGAGGGGCCACATTTACTATTATGCAATTTGGGATAACCAACCGTCTCCACCCACCCCACCCCCTCTATCTCTGTACCTCCCTTCCTATCCTCCCACCACTGTATTATTACATATTCCTTACTGTAAAAATCACAGTAAGGAATATGCTTCTGGGGGGTGGGGGGCCAAGAGGCAGTAATGGCCTGGTCTGTGGCTGCAGGTATTACTGTACTATGCATGAAGGTAATATATGCATACAAACAACAAATTTATATATTTTTATTGAATAGACTTGAACACTAGTAAAATTTGTAACCAGCCTCTAAATTTACAACATTGAACAAAGCAATTAAAAATCTATAAATGCTCTCTACTAATAAATGTATAAAGAACATTACAATATATAGTCTTATTATATACTGTTTAGCCAAAGGCTACATATTTGTGCATGATCTACATGCTATTGACTTTTACATTATTTAGTTACCAAGTGTTCTCAGTCATCAACTAACAAAATTCAGGTTCCTCCTTCTCTTTCATTATCCCCTTACAAAAATATTATCAAGAGATATAGAGGCAACTGTATACAGTACCATTTTCCCCAAGAACAACATGCAAAAGTGGCACTTATATTTAACATCTTCATAAGGAACTACATCACTGTACTATACCTCACTCCATTTTGCCATTTGTCAAGCCAACAGCTCGTGCTCCCAATCTTGCTACCATTGCAAGGCTGAAAAAAATATTAATTCTGTATGATTACATAATCCTAAAAATATTGCTCTGTATTAGAAAAGCCACATCTAATATGACTAACTTGTATGTGTATTAGCAAGTCTCACAAATATAAGGAAAGTATTCAGTTTTATGACTGGTCAGCATAAAGTGTTTACATTACTTGGTGTTTATTTAATATTAAGCCAATATATATACACTCTGTATATATATACTGTAGTGTATATACTTTCATATTTGCATACAAAAAAAATGCAGCAGCACCTATAAAGAACTATTCAGAATATAAATTTTCTTGTAGTTTCCATTACCCTGACCTCTTCATTGTTTTCATGAACTAGCATATTCCTATATCCTGATCCTCTTTATGATTATAATAATCACAACATATCAGAGAAACATTACCTTATGACGGCAATCAAACCAGGAGGCATAAACTTTCCCGAGTTGAGATAACGCATCCCCATCATACCTCCAAGAACTGTGCTGGTGCCCAAGGTAAGGTAGTAATTGGCTGGGTTAGCACTCATCTGATAGGCACCATAACCCAAGAGAGAGCCAAAGAGCAGCCCAGCTCCCAGGGACGGTACACTGCCTGTAGAACATGCATCACATTAATAATTACAATAATTTTGTAAAACTTTCAAGGAGATTCATTATACTTATTTGGTCATTTGTATTGATCTAACATCTGTAACCCAATTAAAAAACAGAAGTACTGTACTAGTATACTCCTCTACTAAAGCTGGTACTGAGGAAGTAGTGTGCATAGAAACCTTGCCTTTAATATAGCAGGGGGCAGAAACCCAACCATTTCTGTCGATTGGACGTCTTTCCTATCACCTAACGGACCTGTTCACCTAGCAGTAAATAGGTACCGAGGAGTTAGTCAGCTTGCAGGGTTGCATCCTGGGAAGTGTCAGTATTTTGACTGAGGAGACCCAGTGTAAGCCTACCATATACTGTAGATATAAACTAGCTGCCTGTCACCGACAATGAACTATGAATTATTTCTGTCCCGCATGAGATTTGAACCTGGAATTCTCAATTGTGAGCTGAGAATGAACCCAACTGTATTACTGAGGAATGGTAAAATCGTGTGCATAACTTGCTACCAAATTTAAAAATTGATTGGATTAGTTTAAGCTGGATTTTGTTATAGGTTTAAAAAAACTGTTGGCAAACCATCTCATGTATGACATTAACTGCATCTGTTAGTTTTAGAGCAAGTTGGAGACAGGGGGGGGGGGGGATGACGTGTCTTGCCTTAATCCTTTAACAATAACAGTAGTATATTGGTATAGGGTCAGTTAGGACACCAAAATTTAAATTGGTTCATCAAGTGCAGGTTTTCCAAAACTCTTTGCAGTCATTAACCCTTTTTCATATACAGTAGTGTCCTTATTAATGGCTCCTACACTCGGTATTAAACAAAATTTAAGAAAAATATTTGATTATGTTTTCTTTGAGTATGAAGCATTAATCATTATTAATGAAGTCAAACAAAAACATGCATTCCTAGAGCAGACAATAATAAAATGACAAATTGTTATATGACATCTCTTAAGAAAAAAAATAAGTTACAGCACATACAAACTTAGACCACATAACTAATGAAACATATTTGGGACAAAGCAATCATGTACCTGGCAGCGAGACAACGAACAAACCTGTACGGAACCCGTGAGCTCCCGGGTATGGTCAGCTGGTTATTTGCACCCTAGCCTCTGGTATGACAACCTGTACTCATGGCTCCATAAACATTGCAAAAAAGGCCTCATGGGAAGCCATGGCTCCAAGTTTGGGAACCAGTTATTTAGGAAAGGGAACGTTGCTGGCCAGTAATTGAAGGGAGAGTATGGCAGCAAAGGTGCCACATATGGTAAGGCAAGATATTGGTCTTGGCTTTGCTGCGTGAGGAGCTACAAGCACAGTAGTTTCACCCTATACTTATATTCAAAAGGCTACAAGTGGGAAAAAATGCTCACAATGAAATACAATTAGTAGCTTTAGAAAATATATACTGTGCCTACTATCTTCTTGAGGTTATCTTGAGATGATTTCGGGGCTTTAGTGTCCCCGCGGCCCGGTCCTCGACCAGGCCTCCACCCCCAGGAAGCAGCCCGTGACAGCTGACTTAACTCCCAGGTACCTATTTACTGCTAGGTAACAGGGGCATTCAGGGTGAAAGAAACTTTGCCCATGCCCTTAATACTAAGTGACACTATAATATGATCCTTGCAATTCCTTAACTGTAGCCTCTGTTTAACGCAACAGTAAAATGTGTACTTGGATGAAAAACGATTCTTCGCGGCAGGGGATCGTATTCCAGGGACCATAGGATTAAGGACTTGCCCGAAACGCTACGCGTACTAGTGGCTGTACAAGAATGTAACAACTCTTGTATATATCTCAAAAAAAAAAAAAAAAAAAAAAAACAAGGTGGCGTTTATGGCCACTACCGCCAGGTATAGAGTGCAGCAGGCCAGGTGTGGCAGACCCGCCAACTATACGGACGGCTGGAGATAACACCACAGAGCTTATGGGCTCACCATACCCCGTGCTACTTGGGAATTTTTGTTCCTAGTAGCTGAACCTAAAACAAGACAGTCATTATGACGAGCGTAACTCCAGACACCAGGACGCACCAGCCTTCACGTAACCCACTACGCCGCCCACTGCTACAACAGCAGCGTAGGCGTAGCTGATGTAGTCCACGACCATCCTGCAGGTTCCCTCACAACAGCTGTCACAGGTGCCTCTACCTTCTCTACCTTCTCTCCCTCACCCCTCACCAGGCTCCAGTCCTATCGTACATAACAGTACCTTCACCTTCACTTTTGTACACAATTCGTTCACAGTCTATTATATATACAGGAACACTTTCGTATACACATATGCGCTGGCTTGTGTTCGCTGCTGTTCTCAACTTCCAAGATAATACAATGACCAAAAGCCACACTAGAATTAGATAATAAGCTAAGAATGTTAATAAACAGATGGCGGTTTGGTGCATTTGTCAAACTTGCTGTAAATAAAGACAACGGTGAACAATTGTGAACGCCAGCTAGCGCACAAGTACATTAGCGCTCAAAATGCTCAAACACAAAACAAAACAAAAGACGTGTTGCGACAAAAGACGTGTTGGGCCAAAAGACGTGTTGATGACTTGGCTCTGGAATGACTTTTGTTGCCCGGTGTTGCACCTTATCCAGAACAGCTACGTTATTCTGAATATGAGGCCTTCATGGTTGGATACAGTAATCCAAATGGGGGCGCACCAGAGATTTATACAATTGAACCATTACCTTCATTTCCTTATAATCAAAAATACACTTGATTTTCCCAAGAGTTTGGTTAGCTTTTCTGACTGCTGCTCCCACCTGTTGTGCAACTTTTAATGAGTGGTGGATCTAGACTTCATGGTACTTTTCTTCATCAGTCTGCTGTAATGTAATGCTATTAATTTGAGAGTCGTGGCATTAATTGTTATGCCCCACGTTATTTGGTGTTATGATATTGTGACGATAATCTGAAAATAGAGCAGTGGCTATTCTGGCTGGTGTTGTACCAATCGCATATTAATAAAGAAAAAAGAGAAACCAAAAAATAAAACTACTCACGGTGTGAGAGCTGCGGGTAAAAACCAAAGAGGATAAAATTTTAAACATTTAATGTAACAAAAAGGACTTTAATACCACACAAAATAATAAGTAATAATTAATGAAAAAATAAAACCCCTTAGACACTTGGCTTTTACACAAAATTATAAAGAAATATAAATACAAGTGAGATTTTACGTTATGCAAAAAGGGGTGCAATAACTTTATACAAAAGTGGTACCCATCTTCTGTCTCCTGGGGAGGCGAGAGTAGATGTTACTGCTGAGAGCACGAAGTGTATTCTGAAGACTGGACGATTGATTGATTGATTGATGAAGATTAAGCCACCCAAAAGATGGCACGGGCATGAATAGCCCGTAAGTGGTGGCCCTTCTGAGCCATTACGAGTATCAAGAGCTGATACTGGAGATCTGTGGAGGTGCGACTGCACCCTGCGTGACGGGAGATGTCTCCCGTCCCAGACTGGACGCTAGCGACCCCCTTATTGCTGGACTCTGCCGTCAGGCCGTCCAGCAATAGGCAATAGGCTCCGTCCAGCAATTGCCTCCGACTTCCGGCACCTGTAGACTAAGCCGGTGCCGGGCACCATCTACAAGAATGTAAAAGGAATGTCTGAGGAACCAATCTGTGAACGGAAAAGAAGTATTTATTTATTTATTTATTTATTTATAAGTATCAACTTCATGTCAATCCGCTGGTCACGAGGGCGCCAGGCGACGAAAAGCGGACCGTTGAAGAGGAATACCAGATAGAAGTAGTGGGACCTAAAGGTGCATAATGGTGTTCCGTTAACCAAAGGTGCCCAGGTGGAGCAGCAGGCGGCCAGAGGTGTGCTGGTGGTCAAGGTTAACCCATCAGTTAACCCTTAATCTGTTAGATTAAGGACCTGCCCGAAACGCTGCGCGTACTAGTGGCTTTACAAGACTGTAAACACCATGCTATGTACCTTCTTGTGTATATATATATATATATATATATATATATATATATATATATATATATATATATATATATATATATATATATATAAATAATAAATAAATAAATAAGTCTCGATGATCTCGGGTTTGTGGCTTCTCGAGGTTTTAAAATTAGAATTAGGCTCATGCTCCCTAAAATAAAACAAGTATTTAATTTCTAAGAAAATAACTAACACTAACACATTTAAATAAAAACAAAGCATATTCAGGCATTGTGCACCTAAAACAAATTATTCCAGTTATACAAAACTAATACAGTCGACGTCGCCAGAAAAAATACTGTTGGGCTCGTAATGCGGGACGGACAGGAGCTATTGACAACTCTGAGAGGATGTTAATGTGTTCTTGGTGAACTTTGCTTGCTTCTGAGTGCTTCACGGTACCTCCCACAGTGGAAATGGGAACTCCTTGGCCGGTTAAGAAATAGCTAGCCGCTTGTGTCCACTCCAGTGCCTAAATATCCTGTCTGACAATGGCGGAGCAGCAGCAGCAGTCTGGGCATCCCAACAGGCCAGGGTCTCTAGGCATGCCTGGTGCAGTGTCAGGTAGGGCCCGGGGTCTGCATGGCAGGGCCACGAGATTGCTTGCCCCACACTCTGGGCCCCAGAGTGTGGGGCAGGGCCCAGAGTGTGCATGCTAGGACCAGGAGTGTGCATGGCAGGGGCCTGGAATGTAGGGCCAGGGGCCCAGAGTGTGGCAGGGCCCCCGGAGTGTGCGTGTGGCAGGGCCCCCCGGAGTGTGCGTGTGGCAGGGCCCCGCGGAGTGTGCGTGTGGCAGGGCCCCCCCGGAGTGTGCGTGTGGCAGGGCCCCCCGGAGTGTGCGTGTGGCAGGGCCCCCCGGAGTGTGCGTGTGGCAGGGCCCCCCGGAGTGTGCGTGTGGCAGGGCCCCCCGGAGTGTGCGTGTGGCAGGGCCCCCCGGAGTGTGCGTGTGGCAGGGCCCCCCGGAGTGTGCGTGTGGCAGGGCCCCCCGGAGTGTGCGTGTGGCAGGGCCCCCCGGAGTGTGCGTGTGGCAGGGCCCCCCGGAGTGTGCGTGTGGCAGGGCCCCCCGGAGTGTGCGTGTGGCAGGGCCCCCCGGAGTGTGCGTGTGGCAGGGCCCCCCGGAGTGTGCGTGTGGCAGGGCCCCCCGGAGTGTGCGTGTGGCAGGGCCCCCTGGAGTGTGCGTGTGGCAGGGCCCCCCGGAGTGTGCGTGTGGCAGGGCCCCCCGGAGTGTGCGTGTGGCAGGGCCCCCCGGAGTGTGCGTGTGGCAGGGCCCCCCCCGGAGTGTGCGTGTGACAGGGCCCCCCCGGAGTGTGCGTGTGGAAGGGCCCCCCCGGAGTGTGCGTGTGGCAGGGCCCCCCGGAGTGTGCGTGTGGCAGGGCCCCCCAGAGTGTGCGTGTGGCAGGGCCCCCCAGAGTGTGCGTGTGGCAGGGCCCCCCCCGGAGTGTGTGTGGCAGGGCCCCCCGGAGTGTGTGTGTGTGTGTGTGTGTGGGTGGCAGGGCCCCCCCGGAGTGTGTGTGTGTGGGTGGCAGGGCCCCCCCGGAGTGTGTGTGTGTGTGTGGCAGGGCCCCCCCGGAGTGTGTGTGTGTGTGGCAGGGCCCCCCGGAGTGTGTGTGTGTGTGTGTGGCAGGGCCCCCCCGGAGTGTGTGTGTGTGTGGCAGGGCCCCCCGGAGTGTGTGTGTGTGTGTGTGGCAGGGCCCCCCGGAGTGTGTGTGTGTGGCAGGGCCCCCCGGAGTGTGTGTGTGTGTGGCAGGGCCCCCCGGAGTGTGTGTGTGTGTGTGTGGCAGAGCCCCCCGGAGTGTGTGTGTGTGTGGCAGGGCCCCCGGAGTGTGTGTGTGTGTGGCAGGGCCCCCGGAGTGTGTGTGTGTGGCAGGGCCCCCGGAGTGTGTGTGTGTGGCAGGGCCCCCGGAGTGTAATTACCTAAGTGTAATTACCTAAGTGTAGTTACAGGATGAGAGCTACGCTCGTGGTGTCCCGTCTTCCCAGCACTCTTTGTCATATAACGCTTTGAAACTACTGACGGTCTTGGCCTCCACCACCTTCTCACTTAACTTGTTCCAACCGTCTACCACTCTATTTGCGAAGGTGAATTTTCTTATATTTCTTCGGCATCTGTGTTTAGCTAGTTTAAATCTATGACCTCTTGTTCTTGAAGTTCCAGGTCTCAGGAAGTCTTCCCTGTCGATTTTGTCAATTCCTGTTACTATTTTGTATGTAGTGATCATATCACCTCTTTTTCTTCTGTCTTCTAGTTTTGGCATATTTAATGCTTCTAACCTCTCCTCGTAGCTCTTGCCCTTCAGTTCTGGGAGCCACTTAGTAGCATGTCTTTGCACCTTTTCCAGTTTGTTGATGTGCTTCTTAAGATATGGGCACCACACAACAGCTGCATATTCTAGCTTTGGCCTAACAAAAGTCATGAACAATTTCTTTAGTATATCGCCATCCATGTATTTAAATGCAATTCTGAAGTTAGAAAGCATAGCATAGGCTCCTTGCACAATATTCTTTATGTGGTCCTCAGGTGATAGTTTTCTATCTAGAACCACTCCTAGATCTCTTTCTTTATCAGAATTCTTTAAAGATTTCTCACATAATATATAGGTTGTCTGGGGTCTATGTTCTCCTATTCCACATTCCATAACATGACATTTATTAACATTAAATTCCATTTGCCAAGTGGTGCTCCATATACTTATTTTGTCCAGGTCTTTTTGAAGGGCATGACAGTCATCTAAATTTCTTATCCTTCCTATTATCTTAGCATCATCAGCAAACATGTTCATATAATTCTGTATACCAACTGGTAGATCATTTATGTACACAATAAACATCACTGGTGCAAGAACTGAACCCTGTGGTACTCCACTTGTGACATTTCTCCATTCCGATACATTGCCTCTGATTACTGCCCTCATTTTTCTATCAGTCAGAAAATTTTTCATCCATGATAGAAGCTTACCTGTCACCCCTCCAATATTTTCCAGTTTCCAGAACAACCTCTTATGTGGAACTCTGTCGAAAGCCTTTTTTAGGTCCAGATAGATGCAGTCAACCCAACCATCTCTTTCCTGTAATATCTCTGTGGCTCGATCATAGAAACTGAGTAAATTCGATACACAGGATCTTCCAGATCGAAAACCATACTGTCTGTCTGATATTATATCATTTCTCTCTAGGTGTTCTACCCATTTAGTTTTGATTAGTTTTTCCAATACTTTCACTATTACACTTGTCAATGATACAGGTCTATAATTGAGGGGGTCTTCCCTGCTGCCACTTTTGTAGATTGGAACTATGTTAGCCTGTTTCCACCCGTCTGCTACGATTCCTGTACACAGGGATGCCTGAAAGATCAGGTGAAGTGGAATGCTGAGCTCAGATGCACATTCTCTCAGAACCCATGGTGAAACGCCATCTGGGCCAGCTGCTTTGTTCTTACCGAGCTCCTTGAGCATTTTTTCCACTTCGTCTCTAGACACCTCTATGTGTTCTATGTTGTTCTCTGGAATTCTTATTGTATCTGGTTCCCTAAAGATTTCATTTTGTACAAACACACTTTGGAACTTTTCGTTTAGTGTTTCACACATTTCCTTTTCATCTTCCGTGAACATCACACATCTATGTGTGTGTGTGTGGCAGGGCCCCCGGAGTGTGTGTGTGTGTGGCAGGGCCCCCGGAGTGTGTGCGTGTGGGGCAGGGCCCCCGGAGTGTGTGCGTGTGGGGCAGGGCCCCCGGAGTGTGTGCGTGTGGGGCAGGGCCCCCGGAGTGTGTGTACTCGCCTAGTTATGCTTATGGGGTTTAGTTTCGACTCTTTGGTCCTGCCTCTCGACTGTCAATTGACCATTGTGTGACATTTTAGGAGTGCGTCATCTTCTGTTAATTTTGGACTGTCACGGGTGGGAACACATCTTAGAAAATGGGTAAGCCTGGGCAAAGCCAGGCACCTTGTGAAGAGGTACAAAGCATCATGGGCATCCAGAGCCCCTATTTTTCCCTCCATCCTCCTCAGGTCGTTCAGCTTTTCTTCAAGGATTATCTCAATGGCACTCGAGCTCAGAAGTGTCCCTAGCAGCACACTGTTGGTGGGAACGATCACTGGGGCTCCTGGCAACATGATTCTTACTGTATCTATGATTTGTTGGCTGGATGAGAGGATTTTGCACTTTGATGGATTTAGGGCGAGTCCTAAATCCTCTTCCTTAGATTTCATCAGCTGTAGATTCCCTAGCAGGGACTCCTGTGTTCCTGCCAGGGTGCCATCGTCCAGGAACCAGATACTTGAATTCGCTGGTCAACCTGCTTGTGACCTCTTTAGCAGCCATGCAGAAAAGGAAAGGGGCAAGTGGGTCTCCCTGCTGGACACCTGCAGAAATCACTTCATGGTGAACTTTGGTTGTTTCTGAATCAACAGTGTCGATTCCCTACTATATCCTGCTGAAACAAAGGGGAGTAGACAAGGAAAACTTGTTCGCACTGCCTCCAGTACTGAATCTTTTTTTTTTTTTACCTGGTTGAAAACATATTTAAAGTCTAGTTTAATTAATGCATTATTTTTTGGGAGGAACTTAATATAGGCTCGTGCTGCATGAGATGCTGCTTCACAGCCTTGGGGGACACCAAAACCTAGTTGATGGGGGTCGAAGCATTGTTGCAGCTTCCTTGCAGATGTTTCTGACAGCTGCCCTTGCAACGAGGTGCTGAAGTGTGTTACTCAGTGTCAAAACGTTGCAACGTTGTGTCAAAATTTCAAAGCAATCGGTGAAGAACTTTCGGAGATTACAGCGTGTGTTGCTCTTACGTCCAACAGATGACCCTGTTTTTCAAAAAAAGCATGTTTTTCCTGTCACAGGTGAGGCATGTATATAGTAGATATATAAAAAGATGCACCTATTCGAATGCAACATTGTGTCAAAATGACAATTGAGAATGCTGGGTTTGAATCCTGGCCGGGACAGAAATGGTTGAGCACATTTCCTATCACCTAATGTTCACCTAGCAGTAAGTAGGTGCTTATGAGTTGAGTCAGCTTGTTGTGGGGTTGCATCTTAGGAGGGGGGGTCAGTAGTTCAACTTTGGGGAAGACCTCAATATAAGCCTAGCATGATATATACAACGGCTGCCTGTCCCCTGACACAATGAATTAATTATAAATGAATGTTTGTAAGTGTAGAAATTCATTACACTTCAAATCTTCTGAATTAGTTGTGTTATGTATTCCTATTGGATATAATAAGTTTGTCTGACAAGGCTTCAACTCTCCACAGGACGTCGAAGTAACCTCCGCTTGGCGTTCCCGGGTCAGGGAAGGCCGAATAATGACCGTCCACAAAATAATTTGGAATTCCCTGCTTCAGGTTACCCGACAACACAAATGTAAGCTTTATGCCAGCCTTGTTTATATGGTATCTGCACACCTGGCACCAGGAGTTCAGTAGGCTAGTGTTAGCCACTAATAGGTTATCAAAAACAGAAAGTCCTCCCTCCCCCAAGTAAAGCATTTGTCTAGGAGAAAATAACCGTACTGTATTACTGTATGCCCTTCGTAACAAAAGATAACATGTTGAGTTACTGTATATAGTACTCCCTTGGTATTTGGACATGTAATTGTGAGAGTAAAACATTAATGAGTTGAGAAACAAAGGTATTGATTGTTTTCCGGGAGATCACCTCGCTAGCTTTCAGTAATTTATGTGCTATTACTGTATTTGCAAGTCTTACGAAGTGCATGAGACCTCCAAGACCCATTCTGAGCTACAGCGAGCCAGGACCAGACTCTGGCTCAAAGAAAACTCTCCAGAATTTTTGGTGAACCACAAAAAAAAAAAATCCACTGCTTGAAGTAATCAATAAAATACAAGGCAAACAAGGCTAACAATTGTTGCCATGGACTCTATCTTTGATGTGCCCAACCATCAGATGATGGCCCAGGCCTTCCCTGGAGTTCTGGCCAGCTTCACTTTCAGGACAGATGGATGAAGGGGGAGGTCTTTTCTTTATTCCCCTGTGATTTTCCATTACGGCCATTGTCGGTTTCCTTTCTTGTCCCTCTTGAGACCTTTCTGTCGTTTGCTGTTCCATTTTGCTGCATTTCAGTGTTGCTTTATTTGTGGGTTTCTTCCTTGTCTTCATTTTTTCCTCATCTGCTGGCTAAGGTCTTGGTTCTTCCCAGCAGGTCTGGATCGGGTTCTTGGTTGCCTGATGGTGTTAGGGGGGATATTTTACATTTAAACTGCAGTAATTTATAGTAGGCTTCCCACACAAAATAAAATTGATGTTTCTTCAAATATAGGAGGGAATTCAAATTACACAACTGTTTTGAATTGAGAGGACTCAAACCCTTTAGTTATATGCAGACATCGCATAAGTTTTTTTTAAACACATGAAGTGTGACAAATATAACATATACCTTTATCAGTCGCCGGTTAATGTACCTTGCTAAACACCACAAAAGTGAAGTTAGGGTTTCACTGAGTAGCTGAAAACAAGTACCGGCCCCCCTCCTTTAACCAGAAGCAGCTCTTGTCTGTGTGACACAAGGCAGATGCCACCCACCCTCTGCCCTGTGCCATTCACCCACATTATACACATTGTATATAATATTGCCTCATTAGGGAAGGGATCCCTTTCTATTGGAAAGGGATTCAAATGCAGGTAAAATAAACTGTTGACAAATAATGCAGCACACTTGATGGCTTATTACTTTCTGCAGTTGTATCACAACTTGTTGGCTTGTTAGCTTCTGCAGTTGTATCACAACTTGTTGGCTTGTTAGCTTCTGCAGTTGTATCATAACTTGTTGGCTTGTTAGCTTCTGCAGTTGTATCACAACTTGTTGGCTTGTTAGCTTCTGCAGTTGTATCACAACTTGTTGGCTTGTTAGCTTCTGCAGTTGTATCACAACTTGTTGGCTTGTTAGCTTCTGCAGTTGTATCACAACTTGTTGGCTTGTTAGCTTCTGCAGTTGTATCACAACTTGTTGGCTTGTTAGCTTCTGCAGTTGTATCACAACTTGTTGGCTTGTTAGCTTCTGCAGTTGTATCACAACTTGTTGGCTTGTTAGCTTCTGCAGTTGTATCATAACTTGATGTGCTAGTTTCCTCAGTTGTATCACAATTTGATGGCTTATTAGTTTCCTCAGTTGTATCACAATTTGATGGCTTGTTAGCTTCGTTAGTTGTATCATAACTTGATGTGCTAGTTTCCTCCGTTGTACCACAATTTGTTGGCTTATTAGTTTCCTCAGTTGTATCACAATTTGATGGCTTGTTAACTTCCTCTGCTGTATCACAGCCTGATAGCTTCCTCTGTTGTATCACAACTTTGTGTTTTCTAGAGTACTGTATACTCATCACATTGAGTTAATAATTTCTCGTGTATACGTCATTGTGTAGTGTTGATGGTAAGTTAAAATGGCTTTATGACATCAAATAAGTAGAACCTTTGAACATATTCCTGTGTTTTACAGTTTTTCCGCAGTCATTGTAATGCTTAAGGATTAAAAGACAACACTGGCTGGTATGTTTTAAAAATAAATGAAAACATACACAGCTAATTGATGGAAGATGCAGAAGATCAGAGATGTTGAGGGTAGAGGTTCAATTATAAATTAATTTGAGAACATGTTGGTTTTTGTGAATTAAAAAAGTCCTGTTGAAATTTATTTATGAATCTTGGACATTAAACCTGTGTGAACATGTGTTAATTGTAATGATTACCTTATCACATGGTGCTAAGAGACAGAGTAATGTTGTTATCTGTTTATTCATGTGTCTTTGCAAACATAACTGTTTCACATCCCTCTATTAAATTAACCCTAAAATGGCTGGATTTATTTTTGACTTGTATATGATGCAAATACAGTAGTGGTCTAGTGGCAAGAAGACAATAATTTGAGGAATATGTTATGTTTAAAGCTGTGGAAGCTTTGCCAATCAATCCAACATGCTGCCCCTGAGCTTACAAGTCTTATTGTATATAACCATGTTATATAGAAATCAAAGTACCCATTTACATTTGTCTTAATTCTTCATTATTGTAGTTTACTATAACATGGCATAAATCGGATAATTTAGACTGACACGTGGCATAGACTGAGGTGTCCATGAGTATGTTCTATGCTCTCCATCCACGGTGGTCCTACAGTGGCTGGTAGTAGGTCCGAGGATCAGCCTTTCCTTAAAGGACCTTGTGGTTTCAATGTACTATATATCATTTATTAGAAATAGCTTGGACTGAGGCATTTCAAATTGGGATTTTAAATAGTTAATTACAAATACCTGTATATAATTGGCAACTGATTTTGCCCCAAATAAATTACAGTACAATTTTAACTGCAAATACTATAGTTGCACTGCAGTGCTAGCCAGTACTTATGAATATAATTCGTGTATAATAAAGTGCCACCGAGACACAAGTTTCATGGTTGATATAAAAATAATTCATTGATTTGGTTGGCCAAATATTGGAGATCATTAATTTGCAACTTACGATGTACTGCGAGCTTTAATAATATAATTTTCTAATCCTGCCCATAAGCTCTCATGACAAAATTTAAAGTGTATGAATTGCAAAAAATTGCCTTTAAGTAGTTTTTCTAGATGTATAATAGTTATTACTCAAAACTTTTGACAATATTTAAGGCCACCACCACCACCACCTCCACCACCACCACCACCGCCATCTCCTCCACTTCTGCCCAGAGTCACTGTCAACAGTGCAACCAACAGGCAAGTGGCAATATGTTGCATCCCATCTTCTAGTAGTCCTACAGCTTCTACAGCATCGACCAGTTTGGTCAGCATTGCTCCCGTAGCCACCTCCAGGGTTGCGCCTACCATCGCCATCACGGCCACTGCCAATTCTCGCCCTCCAGTCACACTCAGTCTTCCCCCGGCAAGCCCACCAAATCTACGGGATAGCAAAAAGAAGCACTTGGTGTTACATCTGCCTCCACCTCACAACCACCACCACCACCATCACCACAACAACCATAACCACCACGGCCATCATAGTCAGCATCACCGCCACATGTTCCACCATGATGCCCTTAGGGACCGCAGTCACAAGAGGTGAAGAATTCCATTGGGATTCTGTGAATGAGGTTTTTGCTGGTGTTAATAAACTAGCTTCACTTTCTTTGAAAACTTACATCATGGACCTTTTCTTGTTTTTGCTGAATAGTGGTGTAGGTTAACTAACAATGGGTGTGTATTTGAAAATATTTTGGTTGGAGCTTATGGTTAGCAAATGTATTGAAGAAATGACAGTTATGTTGCTCATTAATACATGACTAGAAGCTCTGGACCAAAGTTTTGTGTGAACTAATACTGTACTTTTTAAAGTTTTTATATGATACTAAACTTGATTAATTTGTGGATGTTGGGCTATTGTGTAATGTACCATATCAGCACCTACATGATGATATCTATACCGTATCATGAAGATAAATGGTCTCTTATATTTACCACTAAAAAGCTTTACTCTCCTCATATGACATTAAACAAATATTAATCAAAGGTACTGTATTTGTATAAATTAAGCATTGTTTATATTTGTGCTCTGTCTGCCTTACATTTAACTTAACACTAGTTTGGCCATTTCTTGATGATAGGTTTCTTTTTTACCCCTTTGATGAAATGGCATATTTGGTTTTGATCTGAGCTGAGTAATGATTGGCATTTTATCCAAACAGGGTTATAATTGGATCTTGAGCCAAGATGAGTTATAATTGGATCTTGAGCCAAGTAGGGTTTTATCTGAAGGTTATATTTGCATTTTTATTTGAACTGAGTTATAATTGGGCTTTGATCTGAGCAGGATTATACTGGTACCCATATTTATGTTGTGGTTTGAACAAGGTTTTAATTGAGCTTTGAGTTACGTGATTTACCTGAGGACTAACCCTACTGGCCTTGATGAGGACAGGAAGCTGGCAGCTTGTCAAAGGACCCCCATTTGCCTTGATGATCTTTTCCAGGTACTGTATATATTGAAGTTCAGCCCAGTTTTGGCATATACGGCTTCTACGGTTAGGCGGTTCCATGGGTTAATAACCCTGTGGGTGAATAAGCATTTCCTGTTCTCAGTTCTACATTGTGGTTTGTTGAGCTTGAAACCGTTGCTCCTTGTTTGTGTTACATCTGACCTTCTGAAGAAAATATCAGGATCAACATCCTCCAACTTGTTCAGTATTTTAAAAGTTTCAATGAGATCCGCCTTGTCATGCCTGGTTTGCAGTGTTAGCCCTGTGGCCTTCAAGCGTTCCTAATACGAGAGATGACTTGGCTCTGGAATGACTTTTGTTGCCCGGTGTTGCACCTTATCCAGAACAGCTACGTTATTCTGAATATGAGGCCTTCATGGTTGGATACAGTAATCCAAATGGGGGCGCACCAGAGATTTATACAATTGAACCATTACCTTCTTTTCCTTATAGTCAAAAGTATACTTGATTATCCCCAGAGTTTGGTTAGCTTTTCTGACTGCTGCACCCACCTGTTGTGTAACTTTTAATGAGTGGGGGATCTAGACTCCAAGGTACTTTTCTTCATCAATCTGCTGTAATGTGATGCTATTAATTTGGTAGTTGTGGCATGGGTTGTTATGCCCCACATTTGGGATTACAGAACATACAGATTGACTGCTCATGAGTAGTGACAATAAAAACTGATAACTTGAAGAAATTCAAACATTTACAACACGAGTTTTGGCTTCATACTCGTGGGGTCCACGATTCGGTCTCTTAGAGCCCAGGTGAATGGACTGTTTATTTCCATGGAAGTGTGGATGACAATTTTTATGTGAGTAGGTATATTGGTATATAATAATTTTTGGTATAATTAATACTCTGCTATGAGCAGTACTTCATTAAAATACTGTATAGGTAAAGTAATACAATATTAACTAGAAATGTTTTTACAATCAGTTTTAGATGTTATATATCTAGTGGAAAAGCTAGCATAGAATACTTAACTATAAGGTTGCAGATGGTGTTGGTGGTGAGAGTCATGAGGGTGGTTATGGTGGTGGTGGTGAGTGAGAGAAGTGTTCTCCTGGTTTATTAAAACCTTGAATATGTTTTAGATTCCTGTGTTTATGACAGGCTTTCATATTCGCTCTAACTTAGACTGTGTTAGTAAATACTTTGTTGACCAAACCACACACTACAAAGTGAAGGGACGACGACGTTTCGGTCCGTCCTGGATCATTCTCTGACTTGAGAATGGTCCAGGACGGACCAAAACGTCGTCATCCCTTCACTTTCTAGTATGTGGTGAGGTCAACATATTTCAGCCACGTTATTGTGACTCCTCGTCTGCTTAGTAAATACTTATTGCTTATATTCTTGGACTCATTTTTTTATTAACTATTCTTCACATTCAGAATACAGTATTAATACTGGCTGTATAATACAGTATTGTTTGTTTCAGAGTTACTCAGAAGTGATAATTCTTATAAATATTCTCGATTGTTAAATTTGGGTTTGAGTAAAATTACAAAATCATCAAAGATTGTCTTTTCAAGAGTGAATTAGTTTGTGTGTTTTGAGGTGCTGCAGGAGCATAAATGATCCCCCACAACACAACAATTATACACAAAATTAATCTGGTGATTGCTCGCTTCCTAGTAAATTTGTATCACAACTTGAACTGTATTGGGTAATACTGTATTGTTTGTTCAGAACTGACTTTTATCCTTTATTTTTTATCAACTTACTAAAAAAAACTTGATGTGACCGATAGTTTGTTAAACGTATGTGATGTACACCTACTTGCCACCTTGCTCTGTGCAAGCACTGATGATTTGTAAACAGAAGAGTAGTAGTAATGAAAGTGCTAAACCTGATAAGAATTTGCTCGACAGCACTCGATCAGTTCTGCTCATTTTGTGAAAGTTTAGATTCATACAGGTATTTATGGTTTTAACTCTTCTATTATTTGTGGTTTACAAGGCTAATATGTAACTCTGAACATTGAAAAAATAAATAATTAAATACTGTCGTACGTACTGTACATATTAATACGTACGTATGTTTTGGTACGGAGAGAGTTGAAGTTCAGTTTTGAATAGTATTGATATGAGGTGGTGTTACTTGCTCTGGTTTAATAAGGTTAGTTCCACATGCTTATCTTGTAATTACCTAATTGTAGTTGCCAGGATGAGAGCTACATTAGTGGTGTCCTGCTTTGCCAGCACTTTTGTCATATAATATTTGAAACTACTGATTGTTTTGGCCTCCACCACCTTCTCATTCAACTTGTTCCAACCGTCTACCACTGTTTGCAAAATAGAATTTTCTAATATTTTTTCGGCACCTTTGTTTCCTTAACTTGAATCTGTGTCCTCTTGTTCTTGAAGTTGCTGGTTTCGGGAATTCTTCTTTGTCAATTTGGTCGATTGCTGCTATTATATTTATATTTTTATTAGTGTGTGTGCTTGCAGACATGCATGCATGCACATCTTGCATAATATTATGAAGCAGTTCTTTCTTCTGGTCATTTACATGAGAAAGATTGAATGCTAGACTTGTTCATCCCTCAAGCTGTCAACATTAATTGCAACAAATTTGGCATCTCACTTGTAGTAGTTTCCTTTGTAGAAATTAAAACCTGTCATCTAAAAATGATAGTACATATTTTGGGTGCAAGAGTCTATGTATTGAACATTCCATCCATAGTAGCCATAAGTTCTATCTGCAGGATGGCTTAGGAAGCAAAGAGGCAGTGTTTAACTACAGTAATTCCAACAGTTCTTGTCTGATAGTTGTGGGATGTGTACATATTAAGGCTCTTTTTTTTTTTTTTTTTTTTAATTAAGAATAAATTACCAAACCTAATTTGGTTTATATATATGAATACATAATAGCATGCACTGGAAAATTTTCCCGTGCCATTATCTTGCATAGTTTAGTATATAATATAGTATTTAAATATTAGGAAATAAAGGAATTCTGATTACCTGTTAAGATTGGTCTGGCTAGCAATATTTGGGTCCGATCGGTCAAACTGCAAATCTATTTTCATTTGACATCAATATTAATGGTGGATGAGATCATCAATATCAATGATGGCGGATGAGACATGATGCACCTCAGGAAGTAGAGAGTATTACACGCCAGATGAACGCAAGCAAGAGTATTGTTAACTGTCTACATCACTATCTTTGCACACAGGTGACTAACAAAGGGAAGTATACTGTTAGATGTATGCACCAATATATTTACACACTTCAAAGGAGCAAAGGACTGTACCATATTGGTAACTGCACTGCCACCATTTCTTATTACTCTTAAAATTTCTTGCTCCACTTGGGACACTTCTATCCTTCCTCCTAATATTTCCACCAAAATCTTTTCTTTGCAGACGACAAGTTAATTTTATTGTTTTGTGCATGCTTGAATTACCGAGTGTAATTAGTAACCTGTTTTGAAGACTAAATATTGTGTGTTTGTGGGCTTGAAGATTCATTACAGAGCAAGATCTGTTGAGGTTATATGTACTAACCCGCACTCAGTCTCCATTGTAATGCACTTTGTTTACTTTTTCAGCCATGACTATACTAAAACTAATTCAGATAACTCAGTGGTACATGTACAGTACAGTACATTGTATGTATTTATAAACATCCATGTTTGTAAGTGCATATATCCTGTATGTATGTATGTGTATTCTTATATATGCTTATATATAAATATATATAAATATATATAAATATATATAAATATATATAAATATATACAAATATATATAAATATAATAATTTATTGGTGATCTTATTGGACTCACTAACTGGGAACTAAGAGCTATAACCTACATTTCTCTGCTTTTCTCTTTCCAAGTGTTAAGAGCATCGCATCGGTACCTCCACCAAGGTGAGTGGGAAACACGAGACCAAGTAATCTCTGTCCTGCTTGCATGCCTCTTCTCACACACTTTATCTAATCCTCCATTTTGCAGCCTCATATTATTTCACATTACAGTATGTTTAGGCTGATAATTTGCTTAGTTTGTCATTCATTTAGCAATCTTTGACTTTATATTTGATTAATTATCTCTAAACATTTTCCTAACTCAAGTTGTTTTGCAGTCATGATACATGTACTATCATGATGGTAAAATCTAATGTAGCAAGTGCTTCGTTATGTAGTCAGGTATAGGTATGTGGTGTTATAGTTATATATATATATATACCCTGTATATATATTATATATATACATATAAAATGTATATGTAAAATATGGAGTAGTTGTTTTTCCAGGAAAACAAGCATTCCACTTTAAGAAGTTTTGGAAAGGCAATATTTTAAAATTTAACATTTTGTCATTTATCATAGTAAATGATGCAGTAAAGTACAGTAGCAAGTTAATATACATATCTCGAGACTTGCAGTGTTACAGGTAAATATTTTGTACATTTCTTCAAGATGTAGGCATTTGGTTTTATTCACCACCATTGTCTTTCATCTCATCGTATTATTTTGGATTATCCGTAGGTTTTGTGTATTCTCATTAGCTTCGTGGTTTGTTTGTGATGAATACAAGTCCTGTGACACTTGCTTCTGTGCCTTAGTTTCCTTGGTTGTCTTAAATTTGTATTTATTTTCTCAAAATGGAAGTGTAATTTAAGCATATTCACATTTTTACAACATAGAATTTCAGGATTTCCAATATTACCTGATCTTTGTCATTGTTTATATTTTGTCTGCCTAATTAATAAATAACTGTGCAAAATGTTTGTTAAATATCATTGATGTACATACAGTGTATATGAAATTCCAGTTGTTGCCACCATTTATTTTTTTATTCCATGAATGTAAGTTTATCATCACATTTAATCAGTTCAGGAGACTGAATTTTGTCCATGAACGTTACATGTAAAGGTACTTTCCATGTGCTCTGGGCATCGCCAAGCAAAATTCCGGCAACATGCCTAACCTGGTTTGTATGTGACATTCGCTTATTGATGATTTAAGATGTCACTTCACATCCAGATTAATGGCTTGATTCTTGCTACTGTATTATCCATTTTCAGTACATACATAGTCAAAGGCAGTGTATTTAGAGGGGTTGGGCCTGGTAGCTAGTGGATAACTGATTTTCCTAGATATGTTGTCCAGGTTTATAGAATAGCAAATAGAACAAATTGAATGCAAGATCCCCGGTAGGCATAAGGACTCCTGTGACTAATGACCCCAAACTAACATAGCACATATCTCGGTTCACCCAAAAATTGGCATTTCATTACATTCAATGCTGGGTTTTTCTTCTATCTTATAGTTTTGGTATATTTAACACTTCTAGCCTCTCATCGTAGCTCCTGTTTTTCAGTTGCAGAAGCCATTTAGTAGGATGTCTCTGCACCTTTTCCAGCTTCTTGATATACTGCTTGAGGGATGGGCACCATATAATTGCTGCATAGTCCAATTTTGGCCTCACAAAAGTTGTGAACAATTTCTTTAGTATTTCATCATGTATGTATTTAAAAGCACTTGTGAAGTCAGACAGCAGAGCATATGCTTGTCCCACTGTGTTGTTTTTGTCATCATCAGGTGAAAGTTCACTCTCCAGAACCACCTCTAAATCTTTTTGTTGTCCGAGTTCTTTAAAGCCTTTTCCCGTAGTTTGTGGGTTATGTGTACTGTGTATTTATGTTCGCACATAGGTGAGATGTTATTCTTTGCCTCTTTGGAAGTCAGTTTTTTGATCAGCTCCTATTACAGTACAAATCAACCATATTCTTCAATATCAATGTTTTCATTAAATATAAACCCATATAGGCTATTTTATTAAAACTGTGACTAATAAAGAAATAAATGCAGTTTATTAATTTGAATTAAAAATACATAGAGTATTGTAGATAATGTCTCGAGAATGGTTTAATGGGGACATGGTGGAGACTAGGATGATGGTAGACAGGGTTGACCAATGTCTTGAATTGGTGCCCCTAACCTACTATAGTATGTTTTCTGGTCTCATCTTGCCACCAAAAACTAGGGCTAGCAGAGAATTTGTACATGATTGAGCAAACTGTAGCTCGAATTTTATGGGGTATGTGAACAAAACATCGGCAAATATGGTGTCCTTAACTGTAACATTTCATTGAACTTTGAGCACAGTATCCACACAAGAGAAATGGGAAACAATTAACAGAGTAGGTTAAAGTTTTGCACGTTCACACATTTATAAATTATCGTGTGTATAAATAAAGTATATTTGTATAGTATATATGTGCATGAATGTGTCGTATCTAATAGGCCAAGGTGCCTAATAAGCTGAGTTTTCCTGAAATTATATATTTTTAGATTTTATTTTTGTTATGGAATGATAAAACTTTCCATTATGTTATACTGTATATGATTTAAATAAAAAATTAATTTGGGTTAAAACTAAAATAGAAATTTGATCTAATCTAACATAACTAAGTAGTAATTCATGTTCTTATTATAATATAATAATATTAATCGGAATAAACCAAATTGAAAAGTAATATTTGAAAATAATGAAAATCACTCTGCCTGTTAGGCAAATCAGACCTTACATAGTTGGGCAAGTAGTGCAGTTCTGGATATTAGGTATGACACATAAATAAATTATATACTGTATATATATATATATATATATATATATATATATATATATATATATATATATATATATATATATATATATATATATATATATATATATATATATATATATATATATATATATATATATATATATATATATATATATATATATATATATATATATATATATATATATATATATATATATATATATATATATATATATTTCAGGGACAAGATTACCCGGGGAATGTATCAAAGTATCCAGTCATCGGGGAAACTTAAGATCTCTCCTGAATTGGTAAGTTTGAAATAGTTTTCAGTCATTACATGTCTTAAATTTGTAAAATTGATGAAATACTCATGACTGAATATGTGGATGAATATTCAAATAATATTTATCTTAAGTCATCTATTTAATGTAGTTATATAATTCATACAGCTACAGGGTTTATGTAGTGTAGAGAAGAGCTGTAATGCTTCTGTCATGAGGGTTTACTCATCATGTTTCTGTTCATTGGCTACTTATGGAGCTGCATCCTCTACCATTATTAAAAATAATCACTTTTGTTCTAAGTTTTGCCGATCTTCATTTCTCACAACAGCAAGTAGAATTCACCGCTGATGATCTTCGTGACTTGGGTGAGATAGGCCGAGGGGGCTTTGGGACGGTGAACAAGATGGTCCACCGCAAGAGTAACACCATCATGGCTGTTAAGGTGATTTGATGTCATCTTACTTGTCTGACTAGTTGAAATTATCGATTTCCTCATCATTATTTATAATATATTGTAATGTAATCCTGAGCATCCTGAAAGAGGTACTTTTAAAAGTGAACAAAAGCTTGAGTAATGCATAATAATGACAACATTTAATTCCTTGACTTTACACGCAATTTACTGTACTTGACAAACCCTCATGCGTGAGAAAAATAAATATATTTCTTATGTACCAGTAACTTTGGCTGAGGGAGGAAATCTCATGATGATGTCATTGATTCATGAGCATTTATACAGTGAGTGCCCAGTGGAGATCACCCTGACCAGAGGCTTGGCAGCAGTTGCTGCATATATAATTATACTGATTTATTTATGTCACTGATCTGTTTTTCACTACTTTTTGCAGCTATGTTATGCACTAGTGTATAATTTGAGAAATGTATATAATAAAAGTACAGAGCATCGATAAACACAAATATGTTTCTGGCACTAATATATGCACAATATTATATTCTTCGAACAATAAAGCATACTCTTTTTGCTATTAATATGCTTTATTCACACATTATATATATAACTACATGTTTATAAATCGTTATGAAACACTAAGCAATTCTGGTGTGTGAGATAATCTCAACAAGTGATCCAAGCTTGTTATGATCAAAAGAGAACTTGAGAAGAACCTTCAAAGAATACCTGATCAACCAGGTTGTGACTCGTATATCAGGCTGCAAGCAACTGCAACGTTTGGCCTGTTTGATCAGACCAGCAACCAGGAGGCCTGGTCAGAGACCAGGCTGTGTGTATGTTGATCATCAGAATCATCAACAGGTAGGGTGGGAATATTCTTATGGGGTCCTTCAACAACTTAAGACCAATGGACGTTTTTGATTAATGTTGTCTTTGTTATTTAAAACTGTGTCTATTTATTTACCGTTAGTTCCTATAAGATTTCATAATGATTGTCTGAATTTATTACCCACCTGATTTTAGTTTCTTCTGCCAATTTACCAATGTTGGTCCTCCAACATCTAAGGCGATGGAGGGATATTACCCGAGTGGGAACAGCCAAGTGATCCTCTCTTAAAGTTACTTTCCATAAAATTTCAAGCTAAATTTGTATAACTTATGATGCACTTTTTATAATTGTGTAGTATTAGTTGGTTTTAATATAGTAAATGTGTCTGCAGAGAATACGTTCGACAGTGGACGAGAGAGAACAAAAACAGTTATTGATGGATCTAGAAGTGGTCATGAGAAGCAATGACTGTCCATGTATTGTACAATTTTATGGTGCCATATTTAAGGAGGTAAGGATTAGTACTGAAAGCTTTTGGGTTAAGGAGCGTTGAAGATCTAACAATACTGGTGTTATGTGCTATGTGCTCAAGTTCCAAGTAGTACTGTACTGTATGGTAGTAGTAGTAGTTTACACAGTGCAGCTTAAATGTAAACTGACTGGACATGTGTGGTACTAGATCACAGGTCCTGATCACTTTCACAGATGTTTAGGGGGTGCATTCTTCCTTAGTGTTTTAACATATGCAATTTGGGGCAGACAGTCAGGGAAAGGTTTTGCATAGTATTATTAATTACATGTGATAGAATACAATACAATACAATACAATACAATTTTATTTAGGTAAGGTACATACATACAATAAATTTTTACAAGGATTGTTTGACTTATAGGTAGAGCTAGTACATACAATGCCTAAAGCCACTATTACGCAAAGCGTTTTGGGCATGGTTTCGGGCAATACTATCACAATACCTTTAGTGTCCTTGAACGGTTTTAGGTATGTCCGGTAGAAGTAACTATTTTATTTTGTCATGTTATTTACTCCTTCCCTGAGGTTTTTGTTCACTGATTTTGAGAATACACATACCTTATTATGTTGACTAGAAACCCTAAATTAGAGCTAAGGAGAATGGTTGCTGTTGAAATTGAATATTGAACTGACATTGAGTTCCCTTAATAGAAAAGTTGTACTAGCCCTTGATAATCTGTAAAGGAAGTTCTCTAGAAATGTTTGTTAGATGTTTGCAATATCTGGTGGTTCTCATTGCTCAATATAGTTTTGATGATTTAGTCAGCTGGGACATTAATGATCAAACTTAGAATGTCTTAACATGACATGGATACCTTTGATCTGAGTAAAGTATTATGTGGGGGGTATCCATAGATTGAGATACCCCCACATAGAACATAGAATGTATTAACATGACATGGATTCCTTTGATTTGAGTACAGTATTATGTGGGGGTATCCATAGATTAATATTGAGAGGTGGTTGAATGTTTAGGTGGCATGTATGAAGTGATGAGCTTGTTTAGGGTCAGTTTGAATGTTGGGTGGTAGCTGGGAAAATTTTGGGTCTCGGTGCATAGTTCACTTTGCCACATTTTACATTCACATAGATATAACACGGTGAGTACTCTAATTATTGGTGCTAAATGTGTTTGCTCAATTATCTCTAACCCTGCCTAAGACAGACAAGAATGTATGTGGGTTATCACTACAAGCACTACAATCACCTGTGGTTGAGTGCTCAGTAACTCACTACACTATATGATGTCTAACACATCTCTAACCCTGTCCATAGAGGATAGAAGAAAGTGTGTATATATGCTGATCACTATTGTAAATGAATGGCCATATCTATTATAGAAAATAAACTAAACAAAAAATAAACAGTGGATAATAGCTATTTCCAAGCTCTTTCAGAGTTTGTTGGATTGAGTTAGTCTAACTTTTGAGTAGTCACTAAGGATGGCAAGTAATTTGCATTTGTAATGTTCTTATTTATTTATAATGTTTGCAATGAAGCAATAATGGGTTAAATAACAATGTTGGTTTGGAAATGGCATTCTTGCAAAAGTACTAACATGCCCTTGCCCCTCTAATAAGCAGACTCTGAGCATATAGTTACAAGTCGCAGCTTTCTGCTGAGGAGTGAGTAAACTGCTGCTTTTAAAGTGCTGTTGTACTGTTCCTTCTACTGTAATATGGTCCTCAAGGTCTTGAAGAAAATAAGGTGTTCAATTATAATCTTAACATTGATGAGCTTGATTCAGAAAGTAATAAACCATTATCTTCCAGGGAGACTGTTGGATATGCATGGAACTGATGGATACATCATTGGATAAATTTTACAAATTTATTTATGAACGAATGCATGAGAGACTACCAGAAAACATGCTTGGGAAGATAACAGTTGCAGTAAGTGGCTTGTGATGATTTTAGAATAAGAGACAATACAATTAAGTGTTAAGGTTAAACATAACATACCGGTAGTGATTTATCTAAATAGCAGCACTGTACCTGTGCAGTATTATATGGCTGCTGCCACTTGGCTAGTAAGATGCCACATATATAAAAAGGATTAAAACAATAATGTTTTATATAACCTTGTTTCAAATAAATTTCAGTAAATATAAATTCCTGGAATTATAATTTAATACATGCAGGAAAAAAGAATGAAGGCTTGAAGTGATGCTGTTCATTGGGACTAGAAAATATATTTCATATACTTTAAATACAGTACAATACTTCATTATAAATATGAGGATACATCGACATTTCAGATCTAACTCGATATATGACGATTATATTATCTTAGTTTTAATAATGATATTTTTGCCTTTCAGACACTAACGGCTCTGAATTACCTGAAGGAGAAATTGAAAATAATACACCGAGATGTAAAGCCTTCTAATATATTACTGGATAAGCGAGGCAACATAAAACTGTGTGATTTTGGCATATCTGGTCAACTGGTAGATTCCATTGCCAAAACCAGAGATGCTGGATGCAGGCCTTATATGGCGGTCAGTATAAGCTTCCCAAACACCAATATTACCATCATAATAGATCAATTAAGTGCACTTGTGGTGCAGAAACAATAGATACTACAATAACAAGCATGGATGAATGTAGAAAATGAGAAACTACTAGCAGATTTCAAATTTAATAAATTCAAATTATTTCACACCGATTGAAAGATTAAATGAGGAGAGGGAGTAGCACTACTGTATATGCCAGAGAAAATGTAAGATGTAGTGTCGGACAGGGAATAAAAACTTGAACTATGTACAAAAACTATTTGGGTAGAATTAAATGAAAATAATGTTTGTCTAATAATGCATCAGAGCTGTATGTAGGCCACCGAACCTTAAAGAATACTTGTGTAGAAATATTTAGGTTTAATAATGTTTGTTGTAGCTGATTTTGTCTGTCTGTGTCCTACCCTCGGAATCGAACCTGTGACCCCTCAGTTGTGAGTTGACACTGAAGACTACTTCAGTTGTTTAGTATATATTTAAAAAAAAACCTTTGCTAATTAACATAATTAATTGCCTCCCAAGTCATGCAGTCTCAAATCCCACCATGCTCAATGCGATGTTTCGATCAATCATTTAAGCAGTTAGCATCTGTGCAGTGAATTGTCTGTGATGCCCAGAGGGCCACACACATGACAGGGTAAACCTGTGGTGGTCTTCCCAACCATATTGTAATAGGTGGGACCTGATGTAAGTGTAGTAATGATAGTAGTGGTGTCAGTGATATAGATAGAAGATAGGTGTAATGATATTCATAGCATAGGTATTATATCAATATATATATATTGATGCTCTTCCCTTCCAGCCAGAGCGCATAGACCCTGCCAGAGCTCGCGGTTATGATGTGCGCTCTGACGTTTGGTCGCTGGGCATTACTCTCATGGAGCTTGCCACTGGAAGTTTCCCATACCCTAAGTGGAACTCTGTATTTGAGCAGCTGACACAAGTGGTACAGGGAGAACCGCCTCGTCTTTCACCAAATGAAAATGGAAACATCTTTTCAGAGGAATTTGTGTGTTTTGTTAACACTTGGTAAGTAGGTACTATATAACAGACTTTCTTAATACATGGTATATAGGTCAAGCTGACTTAACATGTGATAAGTAAGTTTGCCCTTTTATTTTTATTACATGGGGATATTTCCATGTATTTTTCCATGATATTTAAGCTGCTCTTAATTCTAAGCTGCAGGGGGAGCTTTGGACCCATCCCATAACAGTATTCCTGTATTAAGTTCTCACTGCTGTTAATGGTGATGGATTGTTTAAAGAATACACAAGGAAACAGTAAATACTACAGTAGTACTATTTGGACTTAAGGCCATTGTTTACCTGGATCTTGAGAGATTTCTTCCTCTGGCTGTGGCCCATTGCTTTGACTTGTCACCAGTCAAGTGCTTACTTCACAGAGGTTGTGTGGGTGGAAGATACTTGTACCGTGCAACCCGGGTAACTAATTATTCCCTGATATCACCCAAGGAGGTGAAAGAAGAATTCCTTGTGGTATTGCTCAGTGAGAGTCCGTACATGTATGTATGTATCTTTTCAGTGATGCAGAGCAACTAGATTTGTAATTTATATGTGTATAATAGACAAGTTGTTGATTTACTGATATCGGTGTTGAAAGGTGATCCCATATTTTCTGTTACTGTAGTGCAAACAAGATGGTACTTAACAGGTGTCAGTTAAGTCATTCATTGACTGTGTTATAATACTACACATTAATAGGTCAAATGCTTTTAGATGAAAATATTAACTGCACTTTGTAATGGTTTTAGTAAATTTGTTATGAATTTGATGTAGTGAGGTTTATGGCTCTTTGAATGAGGGCAGGTATGGCGGGGTTTAATAACACCTTCCTTCTCTCGCCTTCAACAGCCTCATCAAGGACGAAAGTTCTCGCCCTAAGTACAAGCAGCTTCTCGAGCACCAGTTTGTTATACGCTCTAGAGCTGACCCTATGGATGTAGCGGAGTTTGTGTGTGGCATATTGGACAAGATGGCTAATAATGGACGAGTTATGTATACATACGACTCTTATAACTGCTGATGAAGCTCTCGTCATAGCACCTTTTGCCCTGCAGCTTTAGTTCTTGGTGAGTCATATGATACAAACTAAAGTAATAAATAAATTTCTGCACCAGTGCTATGTGTGATTTAGTAGATTTAATAGACTCCCCACCAGGCAACAAACAAAGAGAAAAGGAAAAACCCTGCAAAAGTATAGGAGATTATAAAATCTCCAGGAGGAATACCAGACACTTGGGCTGGACGGTAGAGCGACGGTCTCGCTTCATGAAGGTCGGCATTCAATCCTCGACTGTCCAAGTGGATGGGCACCTTTCCTTCCCCTGTCCCATCCCAAATCCTTATCATGATCCCTTCCTAGTGCTATTATAGTTGTACTGGCTTGGCACTTTTCCCTGATAATTCCCTCCCTCCCAGGAGGAATAGAACCGGTCGCTGTGATAATAGGTGACAAGCTGCACAGTTCCTTGCGCCCCTACCAGCGACAATACTGTACTATCTCCTACCCAAAGTCAAACAGCAGCTATGAAAATCCTAGCTGACCACAAGGGCGGGCAATCACTGAGCAGCAAAAGATCCCTATGGAGGTAGTCCCCAAATGACTTGGGAAAGATAACCCCAAACCACAAGGGCATTACTTACAGGGCACCAAGGGAAGATGGCCCTAGGCGCAAGCAGCCCCAGTACTCCATGAATTATTCCTGGCTTGCGCACCACCACACGACAGCACAAAACTGCAAAGGCACAGCATTGCCCAGACAGGAAAAAAAAGAGTCTAACAACCGCCATTCAACACATCAGCCTCAGAACTGTGGTTGGATGGACAGCATGGGGGTCTGGGTCTCACCCTTTTTCCTCCCTGGGAGGGGGGAGCTGCGCAGACACCAGCACGGGGGCGGTTGTGATGTTATGTTTGCATGTTTTCGGATTGGGACGTTCTGCTTGATAGTTCAGCTTTCGGTGACAATTTTGAATCAGTGGAGGTGGAGTTTATTTTGGGACACCTACCTTTCTGGTTGCCTAACCAGATCGATGGCAGATATGGAATGCTTCCAACCACATGGAGGTGTCTTAAGGCCATTGCTTGTGCCTCTCAGAGGCGGGCCAGGTTCTCGCTCGTGGTCCCCGGTAGGCAAGAACTCCAATCGAATTGACTGATGCCACAGTCTAACACATACGTATCAGCTCTGGGAAACTGGAGGGGCCCTCCACAGAAAATGTTATTGATGCATTTTAGACAGCAAAAAAGGTGTCACATGTTAACATTCAGTTTATCATCAAGATAACAGTTTATAGTTTTTGGAATTAGTTGCCAGTTGTGGTTTTCTACCTCTTAACTGATAATACAAGAATAAAATATTTTATTAGTTGAATAAATTGTACAAGCCTACAGACTTTTGGTGCTAAAGTTGTATACTTATTCTTCTCATTACTTGTAACAGGAAAGAACATAGTGCTGCAGTGAAAAAAATAATTAAATTTTTATCATGGAATCTGTAATTCAAATTTTCTGCTTTCTGCCAGGTGAATGTTGTTGTGAAATTACAATAAAGTATTTTGTGCATGAAGCTTGATTAGTTAAAAGGTTTAAGTACACCTTAACAAATAAAGTACCTCTGTATCATGGTGGCTTCCTCATGTATAATGTTAAACTTTGTATCTACAGGACTATGAATAATGCAGACTTGTCAGAGCTGGAGTTCAGGCAGTGCAGCATTTATTTTTGTGTATGATACGTTACACTGGTAAGCACGTGTCTGTTCGACCGAGAATGTCGGCTTGGCTCCAGCTTGGTGATGACAGGCACTAAATGGCAGCAAGTTGGGCCATAGTAATTTACTGTCATATTTTATGCAGTGGAATGAATTTAGAATTGAAAAATTATATTGTCAGAAAACTGAAGAAAGCCCAAGTTGGTAAGGAGCTTTTCTGTTGTATGGAGAGTATGGCGTTAAGCATTAAATTATAAGTTACTTAAAATTTTGGCTTAACAAATGGAGACTTAAGATAGAGTAGAGTACTGTACTTGTATTGGTGGTTATGAAGTACGCATGGTGTTACTGTGGGTGGTTGCACTGTGATTGTTGGCCAGGCATTGTTGATTGCACTAGTTTTAGATGCTCTTCATAATGGCATATTTTGTATGCATAACTCCTTAGATGAGAAGTTGATGAGTGACTCTAGATTTACCATTGTTAATGGTATTCTTTAATGATGAACTTGACTGTGTTCCCTGATGTAATAAAAAGACAAAAAAAGTAATATAGCCTCAAAAATAATTATATCATAACACTCATTTAGATTACAAATATTTAGGAAGAAGACTATTTTTAGTGCCATTGTTATATAGTGTGATTATGATTTTAGAAAATTATTTATTTATTGTATAGGGTGTTGAACTGCATTTCCCTAGAGTGATCTTTAGAAGTTTGTGTGCAAGTGAGTGAGTGAGTAAGTAAGTAAGGGAGTGAGTGAGTGAGTGCCTGTGTTCATGCATGCGGGAATGACAGGAACAAAACTTCTTTAAAATAAACTTTGATTGCTTTGCTGTGGTTCTTGGGTTATTCCTTACATAATATGGATATAATGAAACCAAATTGGGTTTACATTTTATTTTCAGGGTCACATTTAAGTTTTTTTGGCTTAGTTTTTCAATAATAAAATTGTTTTGCTTCAGTTTGCCTTATCACTGTGGGACAGTTGTGGAACTGAGGAATGAAAGTGATTTTTATTTTGTTCTATCATTGTCTTTGCAGATGGTCATTATATTCTTTATTTTTTCTGTATTGAGAAAGTTGTAAAAATTGGGTAGGTAACAAGACATCTTTATTTGTGATTAGTTTGTTTGAGTTTGAATGATGAACTTTCTAATTTGTGTAATTGGCAGAAGAGTATAGTGGCCTCATGAGATTGTAAGTGGAAGGTTGCCCCCATCATAGTGAACACTTGAGAACCACTACCACCGAGCTCAGCGATCAAAGTAATACAATGCACCTAGTTTGTCTGGGCTCGTGAGGGGCTCTTGATATAGTATTATTTTCCGACAATATTGTTGCAAGCACCTGTGTCCTGTAATAAAAAAAATATTTTAAGTTTTTTCTCTCTCTCTCTCCTCGTGGGTCTAATTAAGATTAGGCACAAAATATATGCTTTATAAATATTAATTTTCTTAACGGCATAAAGATGCTGTAAGATTTACCAACCCACTGGAGTGGTATTTAGAACCAAGTCCTGTGGTGATGTCCTATAATATTGTAATATTTTATTGTATGCCAAGTTTTATGATTAAGGAAGTAATTATTTTTTCTTTAATTTAAGTTTCTTTGTAATGATAGCTGTACCCTGGCTTGCCACCAAGATGCCGCTTGTTTGTTTGTTTGTCCTGGCAATACAGAAGAACGGTTCCGTTTGTGATTCAAGTGATAACTTTTTACTGCTGGGATCACTTTATCATCTGTGAATTATTGTTCTCTAATGGTGAATGAAGATTTTTTGAGGTAACAATCTGTTCATACCTTTTGTATTATTATATCTGATGTAATTTCATATGTAAAATCTTTTGAAGGCAGATGTACATGATAGACTAAACTCAGACAGTACATAATCTTGTTACAGGATGCCATGGATAATTGATTCCTTCATACTGTACTTTATTTGGCCAGCAACTGCAGAGACATTGCACCGTAAAGACTTTTGTCATATTGTGTTCAAGACATGAGGGACTAGGTTTTAGTGCACAGAGGGAGTTGTACAAATGTTAGTATTGTGTGCATGACGAGTCTCTTTGGTGCATTATGTTGCCGAGTTATTAAAATAATGTTTAAGAGTCTTGCAGTACAGTAGTTGGCTACTCATTTATGGTGTAGAATTTATTGATCCTTGCTCTTTGAAGATGAGAAGATTCATATGGTACAAGAAACATTACATGTAGTAGTGTGACGGAAATCCATCCCGGCACTTTGCTTTAACAAGTAGAAGTAATAGTACTAGCAGTATTTGCACATAACCTTGTCTAGTAATGTTGATCTTGGTATATCTTAGACACTCATTTTTGCAGTGACTGTTACACCACCATGACTGCGGATAGACATGGTGGTATACACTGGTATACTGATGGTCATGGTGGTATACACTGGTATACTGATGGTCATGGTGGTGTACACTGGTATACTGATGACTGGTCAAGCAAGATACAGTATATATGGGTATACTGATGACTGGTCAAGGTACAGTATACTCTGGTATACTGATGACTGGTCAAGGTACAGTATACTCTGGTATACTGATGACTGTGTAAAGTGATACAAAACCAATCTTGACATGGTTAGCTTGCTAGCAGTAGAAGCAAAAGGTGATTCATAATTCAGCATGTTTACCTATTATGAAGCCTCAAGTTTTGTGGCACATATACAAATATCTCACAATGTAATATCTATAACATAAACTATTTGCAGTCACTTGAGCTAGATAGTCCTAATATAATATTGCTTTCATAATCCACATTGACTTGATGGATTCATCACTTGAGTAGATATTTTAGGACAATATTCACTAAAGAAAAATAATCTGAATCCTTTTAATTTGTGTGGCTTCTGCACAAGATAACAGTAGATAATACAAAGCACACACAACATACTGTACTCTGAATATTCATTTTTGTATACTTTGTTTGGCTGTGAAGGTGCTTTATCTACAACTTTGTACCGTATTGTGTTACAAGTAATACACACAACACTTCACTGCCAACATTGTGTTTGGCCAACTGTGTAACATTGGTTGTCATTGTGCTTGGGCAACTGCGGAATGTAGGCCAATATTGTGCTTGGGCAACTGCGTAATGTAGGCCACCATTGTGCTTGGGCAACTGTGTAATGTGGGCCACCATTGTGCTTGGGCAACTGTGTAATGTGGGCCACCATTGTGCTTGGGCAACTGTGTAATGTGGGCCACCATTGTGCTTGGGCAACTGCGTAATGTAGGCCACCATTGTGCTTGGGCAACTGCGTAATGTAGGCCACCATTGTGCTTGGGCAACTGCGTAATGTGGGCCACCATTGTGCTTGGGCAACTGCGTAATGTGGGCCACCATTGTGCTTGGGCAACTGCATAATGTGGGCCACCATTGTGCTTGAACAACTGCATAATGTGGGCCACCATTGTGCTTGAACAACTGCATAATGTGGGCCACCATTGTGCTTGAACAACTGCATAATGTGGGCCACCATTGTGCTTGAACAACTGCATAATGTGGGCCACCATTGTGCTTGAACAACTGCATAATGTGGGCCACCATTGTGCTTGAACAACTGCATAATACAGGTTGCCATTGCAATAGTAACACTTAAAAAATTGATGTAATTAGCTGCATGAGGAATATTCCAAAGCAGGAACCTAAGGAGGAAATAAGATTTTATTAAGGTGTCTACACTTCTCCTTTGTATAGAATTTTATTATTAACTGTTATTGATCAACAGCATACTTTGGTAGGTGTTCTCATTACATAGTTTATCTCTATTTTATCTATCTAATTAACATGGAAATTATAAAAAAAATTTAAACCACGATAATTGAAAGGGTGGGGAGGGTAAGCGGTGAATGATGGTTCAGTACTAGTCCCAGTTGTTATTGGTGTGAAGAAGTTAACTCCAAGATGCAAGAGATAATTTATTCTCTCGTGTTAGGCTTGTTCACTCTCGACAGAGTAGTCATATTTTACCACTCTCCGTCCTACCTGCCTTCTTGTTGATGTCATAACTCTGCAAGACTTCTCTTCCGGTAAATTTCAGAATGTTTCAAAGTCTCGTGATTATATGGGGGTTATTAATACTGTATGTGTTTATTGCTATTTTTGTTTGATTTACATTTTGAGAAGGAAAAAAATATTTGAAGTTTGTGTGACTGTCACCCCTTAGAGGTTGATAGTTTTGGCTTATTTTCCTCTTGCATTTTGATAAATGCCCTTTGCTTTCCCATGTATTGTGGTCCTGTCTGTACTAGTTGTATAGTTTATATTGCCTCTGACAAACTTGGTAAGGATGCTGTTTTACTTGCTTGTTGGTCCTATCCTGAGTAACCCAGCACGGCTCTCAATGCTTGTTCTTGGTCAACTATTTCATGGTAAATCTACACTCGAGTAGAACCATCAAATCTTAGGGTTGTGATTTTACAAAAACTAGTTGAATTTTAACTTGTACATGAGGATCTAGGGTATTAATGAGGTCAGTAACACTGATTGTTGCTTTTACAAGTGGCATACAGCAGTTATAATGCAAGATACATACCTGTTGTTAATTTTACAATATTATTTTAATATCCCTTTTTAATTCTAAGTAATATTAAGGAATATCTTTGTCACATCCATGTCTTGGTGAGCAGTAACACACAACATTATACAGTATTAGGTTTGGCACTTGATGTCATTTTGCATGGTGAGAAACCAACCTGTTGCAGCCTTGTGCAACGTATGGACTTTGTGGGTTGTTATTAATGGTACGTAGTGACAGGAGCAACATGTGATGCTCTTCTGCTGCCCAAATGTGGCACTGATCTTTGTAACTTAGTAGTCCATCCATTAATAACATTAAAGCTTTGTGAAAGATGATCACATGGAGACAGAATGTTTTGTAATGGGTTGCAAGAGTTGAGAAGAGAGGGGCTGATGATGATGATTGGTTGCAGTAGACAAGTAGTTTCCCTGTAGTGTAGCACCTCAAGAACACAAACTGGTGGTGGTTGTTGTTCTTGTAGTCAAGAATTGTACATTGTACTCGAGAGTTAACTAACGAGTTGCATACTGAGTGACCGTTTATAGTTGCATACTGAGTGACTTCATATACACCCATAAGCCATAGGCTCTTTACTGGTTTTATGCAATACTTGTGCGCTGAAATTGACGAAATAATAATTTCACGATTACACTGGGATCACTTCCAGTGTAACACCAATTTCTCTTGACCACTGTAGTTTGTCAAAGCTTATTGCTCACTTCACTTCTATTAACCATATTTAACAAGAACAGTGAAGAAAACTGTGTTTACGGGTCAATAAAAAGTGAAACGAGATATTTTGCTTTGATGCATAAAGAAAGATGGTGCCTGGAGAATCTTAACAAAATACTGCAGCTCTTAACCACACCTCATCCTGATTTTCCTCGGAATAATCTATGATCATTGTGTGTTAATATTTTTCAGCCATCTGGAGAGCTTGTATTATTATTATTATTATTATTGACTCTTATGGCAACTGGAAGCCTTTCATTTAAGGTCAATTGTTTATTGGTTGATTTTGAGATAGTCCCAAATTTTTATTTCCAGTGCTGTGAGTTAATATATTGAGTCATTTTATTCATATTCTTATTTTTATAATTGTGCATTGTGTATTATATTTCATGTACAGTACTGTATTTACATGAAAATGTTCTTATTTTAAGAAATGTGGCCCATATATACCATAAAGCTGTATTCAAGTAAATCACATACTGGAAATTTCATACTGCAATGGATCAGTTACAATAACAAAGTCTGATTGTTTACAACTTTGGCCATCCACAGGTTTTGCTGTTGCTGCTGTCGGTAATGAGCTTACAGCTTAACGTTGTGACTTGTCTTACTTGCTGAGCTGACTAGCAACAGTCAAAAACTCTATCTTACTTGTTTTGTTATGGCTAAGATTTTAGTTTGAATATATTGGGCATTGGCCGATGAGGGTAATGTTTGATAATTAAGATTCTATTCAACTGGATTTTGAGTAGATTAGATTGCTAAATGATGGGAATTCTAAGTAATTATTCAGTATAATAAGGATTTTAGGGGGGTTGATTATATATAATTGGGTTTTAAGGTGGTTGGGTTTTACTCATTAATATTCTTATTGATTGGTTTTGTGATAATAGGTTGAAAGTACAGCCCGTCCTCATAAACAAAGACCAAAAGTGATTCCATGCACCCGCCAAACCCCCATGTTTATGAATGAAAAATGGTTTACACACAACTTGCAACTATTCACGTTCGAAGATTTCTCAAACAGTGCTTCGCTGACTACTTTTGTTCGAATTGCAATGCTGTAAATGCTTCACACACGTACTACAAATAGA